GACCGTGACTTGCCTCAGACCCCCAGCAGGGGGGCTGAGAGGGATACACACCCAGTGCCTGTGCCAAGCTTCCTACATGTGAAATTCAATAAAGTTGTGGCCATTTTAATCCCTAAGGATGTTGTCGTGTCTCCTGCTTGATCCTGAGGTCTGGTTCCCAGAGGGGTGGGGTGGGGACTTTGCCTGGGCACGCAAAAACCATTTATAACTAGCCACCATTGCCAGCTGAGCTTCAAGCAGCAAATCTGGATCCAGAGCAGCAAATTGATTCTGTCAATGCCAGCCTCTCCAGAGCAGGCAATGCAGCCTCATTCTGCAATCTCTATTTCTTTTTAATTCAGCTTCAGACTTCCCAAATATTTATCATGCATTCTTTAGCAATCAACTTAAGAGCTTGCAAGTGGATAGAGAGGCAGTTTGGATTCACCAGACTTTGAGTGTGCCTCTAGTTGAGGGCAAATAGCATTCCTCAGCCTTGGTCACAGCTCTTCTGTGCTTTCAAAGCCTATGCTAATTTTTATGCACGTTAAAATGTGACTCTGTCACAAATTGCTACATCTCTTGTAACAAAGTAACTTGTTAAGGCAAAACCATTTCTGAGGAAGGATATGGAATGAGTGGGGGGAAAATGAAGCAGGTTCTGGGGGCAGGGGAAGAAAGTACCTAACCATAAAGCAGAACCCTTAGAAGGAAGTTGCCTTTCATATTCTCGGTGTGGTGTTGCAATAGCTATATTTACCATTTTACAACATCAAGGTGGTTCCTGTTTTATTTTTTGAGGTCAGTTGGAGTTCTGTCTGAAGGAGACTGTGAGGATGCAAAGCCTAGTGACTGGGAAATTAAGAGATGGGAACAATGTGATTGTACAGTACATCCAAATACAGGATCAATATTTATTTGAAAAGTTCCTTTAGTAAATAGCAGGGAGCAGAGACTCAGTACTCAGTTCGGCAAGATCTAATTCCTCCTTTGTTATCCCTGGGGCCAGATACTAGAATGAATAGATGCAGAATGAATAGATGGATATCAATTCTTGCCACTCCTTGGGAGCAGAAAATGGCCAGAAGTAAATGCATGATGAACCATGTTATGGGGCTCTGCAAGTCTCCAGTTGATATGCCCTACCCACTTCTTTGTTTGCACTAACAGAAAAGTGCCTGAGGACACTTAGGTAGTCTTTTAGTCCTCTTTCCCTATTGTGTCCAGACTGAGCCATCTAGTAGAGTCTTAAAAGGGTCTCATGGCCACCAGGGGGCAGGTAACATGCCAGTTGTGGGAGGAGCCAGAGGTAGAAGTAGGTGATGGTGACAAACAATCCAGAGCTGGAAGGAGTCAGCCTTCCTTGAGTGGCAATGATGAATGAGTGCATGCTCAGACTATGTAACTGCCTTTTCAAGGGGACTCTGACTGCACCCAGAACAGGCTGTCCACCTAATTCCAGAGAAAGCAATCTACTAACCTACAGGACCTCCCTCTTGTCTGGATTCAGTATCTACTTATTGGTCCTCATAGAATTATAGAGTTGGAAGTGATCCCAAGGGTCTTCTAGTCCAACCCCCTGCAATGCAGGAATCCCAACTATATATACATGGCAGATGGCCACCCAACCTCTGCTTAAAAACCTCCAACAAAGGAGAGCCCACAACCTCCCAAGGGAAACCATTCCACTGTCAAATAGCTCTTACTGTCAAAGTTCTTCCTGAGTCTCTCTTTCTTTGTTTTTTGTAACTTCAATTCATTGGTTCAAATCCTATCCTTCAGAGCAGGAGAAAACAAGCTTGCTCCATCTTCCGTGTGACAGCTCTTTAGATATTTGAAGATGGCTATCATATCTCCTCTCAGTCTCCTCTTCTCCAGGTTAAACATACCCAGCTCCTTAATCTGTTCCTCATAAGACTTGGTTTCCCTTGATCATCTTGGTTGCCTTCCTCTGCACATGTTCCAGCTTGTCAACATCCTTCTTAAAGTGTGGTGCCCAGAACTGGACACAAGAGTCCAGGTGTGGTCTGACCAAAATAGAATAGAGTAGGACTATTACTTTCCTTGATTGGAACACTGTAGTTCTGTTGACGCAGCCTAGAATAACATTACCCTTTTTTTGCTGTTGACTCCGGACCTTTTTATTATTTTTAACCTCTCTTGCAAGTCTGAGATTTGGCCCACCTGACCTTTTCCCCTGCAACTGCTGGTAACTCATGTATACTCTTCCTTTGGGGTTTCCCATTTCTTCATTTATTCATTCCCTTCTTACATCTCAGCTCATCTGTAAGTTCCTTATGTTGCCACACTGGTTTCATTAGATGCCTCCCATGCATCTGGGCACTGGTCAAGGATTCAGATGACAAGGAGAAATAGAGCTAGGTGGCGTCTGCGCCATGTTGCATAGTGATAGCAACTTCCTGAAGCATCCCTGCCTTTAGCACAAGCCCTGAGTTCACAGACCTGGTGATTGGTGGCTGTAGGCTGCTGGCTGTCCTACCCAGCTGGCCCTGCATGCTCAACCTGAGCAATCACATTGGTTTTTGCAGGTCCTTTTCAGTGCAGCAACTCAAGGTAGTCTCTTGACTACTGCTTCCTTTGCCAACATCTGGAATAAGTGACTTTCTTAACATGGGTTCACAACCTCCATCAAGATTGTGGTGCATGTTTCCAAATGTCTCTTCTTGGTAAAAGCCGAAATTGGTTGTTTTATGCTTTCACGTTGTTACGCCTTTCTACTCCTTTTGGGCATATTTGCCTTTGCATAATTCCACCCCACCCGCTGGCACTTGGTGTGTTTTTGCTTAATCAACTCTCCACGCTGAGTCGGCACCTTTTGTATTGCAGCTCTGTTTGTTTTGTGTTAATCCAAGCAGTTTGACCAGAACTAATAGAATTTGACGATTGAAAGAAGAGAGGTTTGATTTTCTTTCTTTTTTTCAAAGGGGGAAAGAACAAATGGTTATTGTAGTTTCGGAGAAATTTTTATTTTTTAAGAAATTGCAAGAAGGAAATTACGTATGAATGTATTTCCATAGAATTCAGTGTATTTGCATTCCTTTTCCAAAACATGCTGTCCGTATTGGGAGTGCTGTTTGCAGATGTATAGGGAACAAGTTATTTTGCACATTGGCCAATAGTTGAAAATCTCTAGTTTCAACAGGAATTGTTTTTTACATGGAACGTGTTGAATTTCAGATATTGGAGCGTAGCTCGGCTTGTAAACTGAATTCCAGTTACTGATGGAAGCTGAAAGGTAGAGGGTGTGCTCTACTATGTCTTCTGCAACACCTTACTTCATTTTGAAATCTGCTTGAAGCCTTTTGCAGAAGTCTTATGAAAATTAGTGGTACTTGCAGAACACTATTGCTTACTGTGTTTGCAATATTGGTATTTTGCAATCTAATCCTAAAGCTGCTGTCATACTCCCACATACCTGTAAGTAAGCCCTGTTGAATTCAGTAAGACTTACTTTTGAGTAGACATGGCTAGAACTGTGTTGTCCATCTTGCCAAGTTTAATCGGACTTGCTTCTGCAATCCTAAGCACATTTAACGTCTCCCCTTCCAGTGGATGGGTAGCTCAATTTTCAGTTTTTATATTTTATTAATATAATTTTAAACCTGCTTTAAAATGTTTTTAAAATGCTAACAATTATTGAAGTACCCTACCACAAATATATCTACATATCTATATTTCTATATCTGTATATTTATATCTGTATCATTATCTGAGTGCCCAGAGGCGTAGCTGTGTTAGTCTGCTGCAGCAAAACAGTAAGAAGTCTTGTCTGATAAAATGGACTCTTGTCCACTACAACATATGCTGAAATAAATTAGCTAGCATTTAAGGTGCCTCAAGATTCTTTGTTGGAACTGAGAATTATTGTGGTAAAATGTTTTTAATTGGTTGTTTTAATTTTTTTAAATGTTTGTTTTCATTCCCTGTTTAATTTTTCTTCTTCTACATGTTCATCAATAGGTTTATTTAAAAACTTTCCCCTCAGAGCAGCAGTTCTTTAGAGAGATGGTTAAGTATAACATTTATAAGATTTAAGGAATGAAAACCTTTTAAGCAAGCATGTAAGGTTTACTGATTAACAGCCATGTGTAAATATTTACTAATACATGTTTTTGAGTCGTGACTTAAATCTAATTATTTTAATTCCTAGCGTGCAAGTACTTAACAAGGGATGAGCACTAACCTTTACTCCTGTTTTTTTTAAAAAAGCATTTGCATGTGTTTTAAGAAATTGTTAACGAGAGTGCTGTTCCCAAAGGGGTTTGGATTAGGAAGCAATATTTAATTGGCAGCTTGATAATTAGCACATTATATAGCCTTAAGTCCTGTGGATGTCATACAACTGTTGTATCATGTGTTTGGATTTATGATTTTAAAATGCTAACATGCATGGAAAATTTAGTCAAAGGGAAAGGGCCTTGTGACAGCCAAACTAGTAGACCGTTGCTCTATGAACAGGATTTCTGGCTGTTAACTATTATAGCTTCCCTATAGCATGTCAGCTAGTACAACTGACAATTCATTCCACTGGATCATTACAAGCTACTGATGCTTTTAGACTAGTAATGTTTAAAATTGAGCATGATCCTGGGTCACAGACTTCAGCCATAAATTTATGAACCGTTTTACTCTAATTCTGTAGTCCATAATACACTTATACTAGGGAGTAGCCTCATTGGGACGCGGGTGGCGCTGTGGGTTAAACCACAGAGCCTAGGGCTTGCCGATCAGAAGGTCGGCAGTTCGAATCCCCACGATGGGGTGAGCTCCCGTTGCTCAGTCCCTGCTCCTGCCAACCTAGCAGTTCAAAAGCACATTTCAAAAGTGCAAGTAGATAAATAGGTAGCGCTCCGGCGGGAAGGTAAACGGCGTTTCCGTGTGCTGCTCTGGTTTGCCAGAAGCGGCTTAGTCATGCTGGCCACATGACCCGGAAGCTGTATGCCGGCTCCCTCGGCCAATAAAGCGAGATGAGCGCCGCAACCCCAGAGTCATCCGCGACTGTACCAAACAGTCAGGGCTCCCTTTACCTTTACCTTTTAAGCCTCATTGAACCCAGTAGGACAGGAGAGAGGAACCTCCAGCCCAGGGGGCCAGTTTTGGCCTGCCAACTTTCCCCATTTGGACTGCAAAGCCATTTTGGGCAAGCCATGCTCACCTGTCCTACTTCTGAGGGTCATACAGATAAGGGTGGGGGGCCTTTGAAATGCTGCACAAAACTGGTACCCAGCACTAAGTAGGATTGCCCTCCTGGTACATTGGCTGATGCAAAGAAAGGGTGATCCTACAGGAAACTCCCTCACACACCCAAATCTGCTCAGTTTGGCTGCACTTTCAGAGTACTCAGCAGGTAGCAAAGCACTGCTAAAAGCAAGCTTTTTCTTCATTTCAGCAGCTGTTTCACTGTAAACCCCTTGTAGTGAAACAGATGTTAGCAGTGCCTTCCTGCCTGCTACAAACTTTGAAGTCCTGACTTGGGGATTTCAAAGGGCAAAAAACCTTGATATCGTTTGTGACAGAATGTGGGTTGACAGGTAGGCACCCTCACTCACTTGTTAAATTTGGCCCATGAGTTGGATCTGGCCTGTGGAGCCAAAAGGTTTCTCCACACTTGAGGCAGGGCTAAGTAATCATACATAGGGTTGAGCTGTAAAATTCTGTTAAATATTTTAAAATAAATGATATATTATTGATAAGTCCAAATTCTGAAATCCAGATGCCTTGCTTATGGAATGCTGTTATACTATCTATAATTAACTGTATGCATTCTTATAAATTCTGTCTTTTAGAGACAAAGCAAATCTCACTGCAGGGTAATGCTTGCTTTCTCAGTTTCTCCAGTCCCTAGAAATGTTAATTTCTAGTTTCCCTGTGATAATTGTTCAGGGTAGGCAATATCTTAAAAGGGTATGACAAATGTTCACAAATGAAAAATGAAGTGGGACGGGAAAGGAATTCCCACTCCACTATTCAAAAGCCAGATCTATTGAGGTTTTCTTTTTCTTTTCAAGGCAAGTCGGGGCTTTTAGAAACCTCTTAAAGAAATTAGTTTAACAACTGTGGAGAATCTCTCTTGCTGCCCGAACATGATGCTCAGGTGTTGTACTACAAGAATTGTTTGCTGTTGATCCTTAAGATCACATTGGGATATAGAGGAGGAGGAAGCAAGCCACTTCAAGTTTATACTAGGTTAAACAGAATTGTACTTGTTTCTTGTTTCTTGTCCTGAAACAGCCTAATAATCTGCAGTGCTAGAAAGGGCATCTCTCCTGTTCATCTTCCTTTTAGTAATGTACTGACATGATTATTTTGCAAACCAACTGAAACCCTTCCTTGAAGCTCAGGAGAAAATCATAGATGACATGCTCCTTCACAAGGTCATTGAAATCCCTGCTGCAAATCTCCTTCAACTTGTGCTCTTGAAAGAGAGAAAACATATCCAATGTCATAATGCACCCATTTGTTTTCTGAAGCTTAACTTTCCTTTATAAGTGCTCATTAAAACTTAACATCTAGTCAGATAAGTGCTTTCAAAGTGGCTAACTTGTGTCCTTTCAGTTATTGCTGGACTACACTCCCATCATCCTGGTTGGGGCTGGTGAGAAGTAGAGTCCAGCGGCATCTAGGCAGCGAATACCCTTTAGCCACGTATAATAAACCATAGGCGAGGGGCCATTTTTCCAAAATACCTAAGTATTGTCAGGGCTTTGTTCAGGTCAAGGAGATCTCCTTGGGCCTTTCACAGAAAATGAAGCTTTTCTCTAAAAGTAGGTGAACGTGTAACTTCATGAACACAATAGCTGCTGATTCTGATGCTCTTTCTTGATCTTAGTGGAGAGAAAGTAGCTCAAGGTGCCCTCTCACTGAAGCTTACATTTCGGCATCCATTTTGGGGGAGATAACACGACATCCTCTTCTCTTAACTGATCAGAGCTAATGGACACTAGGATGATAGTAGATGGAAGGAGTTCTCACAGGCACTTCTAATGGCACGTTTCCCCTGTGGAAGCCTGGAAGGATGAGCATGTTGGTGTTTCAGTGACAGGAATGTGACCTGACAAGAGGCTGCAGTTGTAACGCTCCGTGTGCTTTGATTTGCAGCCACCCAACGTCATGTTGCAGTGCTGCAGAAATCATGTCTGTGCTGTTTTTCCATACCATGAGGTACAAGCCGCAGGATCCCAGGAATCCCAACAATGACCGGTTTGTTCTTTCCAAGGTAAGAGCTAGATCTTTTTCATTACTCTCCTGAAGGCTAGCTCTGATTGAATACTCTTCTCTGTTTCCTAATGGCTCTTTGCAAAAGGGAAAAAAATATCCTCAGCAGTGTTCTTATACAACAATGCAAAAAATCCAAGAATTTCTTTGCCATCCTTCACAATTTCTGCGCTGACCCTTGGATTCATGCACTTGTTTCAAACTCCTTGGGCTTTTGAGACATTGGCTCAAATGCCAATCAAGTTAGTCACACCTAAGTCCTATTGGAATCAGTAGGACAAGTAGCCAACGGGACATTAATTTCAGTGGAACTTGAAATTCAGCCGACTTCTTTTGCTTTGGGCTGTTACTCCTTATCTCTACTTCTTTGTACACCCTGAGATGGGGAGTGGGGCTCAAACTCACTTATGAAGAGAAGCAAGCCATTAACCAGGAGGCCCCATATATTGCAGGATCCTTGGGATTTTTCTCACTTTGGGCATTTGCTTCTCTCTACAATTAGCAGAACAGAGGAGGGACTGGGAGAAAGTATTTGCAGACTTCTGGTCTTTGACTTCAAATATTTTTTCCCCTTTGCACATGTAGACATACCTATTTTTTAAAACTTTCCCTTATTGCTGTTCTAACTGCTTGTCTGCTCCCACTCTTTTCCATCACTTCCTACTCCTGTTTTTGCCATGTTTGCCATGCTGTTTCCTATTCTAGAACAGCCGCCCCCATTTTCTGTTGAGCCCCTTTCCCCCTTCTACTACTTCACTGTCCCTTTTTGCCTCATTTAAACTCTCCGATTTGAATAAGACCTTCAGCAGGGACCATGTCACTAGTATGATATCTAATGGTTTTTCTCCTCAATAGTTAATTTAAAAAACAACAACACAAGAGCTTTGCTGCATCAAGCAAAAATCCCATCTAGTCTAGCATCCTGTTCTTGCAGTAGACAACCAGATGCCTGCAAGCAGAATATGAGGGCAACATGTTGACATGAGCATTTCCATATCCTTGCATGCTATTTGGCCTCTCTTCTTAAGATGGTCTGCAATTGCTGATTTTGTTTCTTCCCCTTCCTCTAGGGTCATGCAGCCCCAATCCTGTATGCTGCCTGGGCTGAAGCAGGCTTCCTCCATGAATCAGAGTTATTAAACCTGAGGAAAATTGATTCCATTTTGGAAGGCCACCCTGTGCCAGTGAGTATTTTGGGAAAACGCAGGGAGATTGCCTTAGGAATCAAAAAGTTTGTGCAGCTTTTGCACTGCTGTCAACATCTGGTTCGTAGTGATAGTTTAGCAATGGTTTAGGTGACAGAAATAAACCCCTGGGTTGACAACAAATGAAGTATAAATGTGCCCCCCCCCGAGAAAGCAACCAAAAAAGATTACTTTTACATTTTAGAAGGGGCACTCAATGCCTTTACTTTCATGCACGTGAATATTAGCTATGGTATTAAAACAGGCTCCTGCCAACCTAGCAGTTCGAAAGCGCGAGGTGCAAGTAGATAAATAGGTGCCGCTTTGGCCAGAAGGTAAACGGCGTTTCTGTGTGCTGCTCTGGTTCTCCAGAAGTGGCTTAGTCATGCTGGCCACATGACCTGGAAGCTGTACGCCGGCTCCCTTTGGCCAGTAAAGCGAGATGAGTGCCGCAACCCCAGAGTCATCCGTGACTGGACCTAATGGTCAGGGGTCCCTTTAAAACAGGCTACTTTTTATGATGCTCCAACACATCTCTCATACCTCTGAGAATGGATGGATGCTTCATCACAAATCCCCTCCACACACTGCCATTGCCTACCCTAGATGCAGAAGCTCACCTAATGAGCAGCTGTTTTTGAAATGTACGGTTGATCAAGATAATTAGTTCAGCATGCTTTCTTCATTTGTTAGAATCTGTTTAACATGACCATTGCAACAGCTGCCAGCTAAGAGCAGAAAACGGGGCTTTAAATATTTGGGGCAGGTGCAGCTTTTGCATCTCAGACCTTCAGAGATGTGCCGTATGGGTTATGCAGAGTAATACTTAACTCCTGGCACACCTGCATTGCATTAATTTATTCATGTAGGGTTGCATCCGGTGCTGCTGATCTGCTCACACAACATACTACCTCTTGCACATGGGAGTGTCTGCTTCCTCTTCCCTGCAGTTCCTTGTGCACCCTTAAAATCTGATCCAGATCAGATCAGATTTTAGGGGTAGTAGTCTTGTTGCATGAATGGAACGCCAGTTGTATTGGATGCAGCCCATAGGCTCTTCTCGTGAGGGAGTGCTTGATCTGGCAGCTAAGGCTGACTAAGGGCCAGATTTCAAGGGCAGGGTGGGGTTGGGTGGGGTACAGTCCTTAGATAATATAGATGGCTGAAAAGATGAGTATTGATGGTGAAAAGGTGAGCTTCACAAATTAGTCTTCAGAGAGGTAGGCTGGTATCTTTCCCTGCTGCACTAGATGTACCTGTGGGAACTTTGGGTCAGGGTTGAACCTGCAGCCTGATCTGTGAATGCTTACTCGGAAGTAACCCCAACTCGACTCACTACTGGTGTGCCTAGGATTGAAAGCTTAGGGTTTATGAAGTAGATATTATTTTGATTACATGCTATTGCTTCTTCTTTATAGAAACAAGCATTCACTGATGTCGCTACTGGATCACTCGGTCAAGGATTGGGTGCTGCATGCGGTATGGCCTACACCGGGAAGTACTTTGACAAAGCCAGGTATCTTGAAAATATTTCACCTTCTTTGCTTTCATGAAGGTATGTGGATGGATAAGGAAATGAAGCAAAACTGCCCATGATGCTGTTACACAATCAAGTTTCCAATCTCAAGTTTGAGAATGCAGACCCTGCTAAATTAACAAGATTCATCTGTTGTTAAATTGGGCACAGAGCAAAGAAATGCCAAATCTGGTCCACAACCTTTTGAATTGCAATTATAGCTTGTTCGTATGAGAGAAAGAGCGAGAATCTCCATACCTCTGCAGAAATAATGCTAGTGACAATGGAATAGAAAGGTGACTTTATATGAAAGCAGTATTTAGCTTGAGCGAAAGCGAATTTTGTTCAAAGATAGTTATGGCAACACAGCATTGTCCAACAAAGGTGTTAGAGGATATTATGCAGAAGAACCCTGTTGTGCAACTCGTAGTGAGTTCAAGGGCAATAGTCCTGTTAGAACTGGTATGAAAATCTTCATGTGGTGTTAAAGAAAAGTAGATATCCAAAGGCATTTGTCTGTGTGTGTTGGGGAAGTTGATGTATTTTATGTGACAGTATTAGAGCATGAAAATCTGGGTTGCTGAGTAAATGCAATTTTACATTGCACACTTCACTTGCTTGAAAGCATTTCTGTGTACACTGATGTGCTGATCTTAATGCAGCCTGGCAGGTGGTATTCATAGAAAGACTTTATCTCTGCCTACGGTTGGTGCTCACTGGCTCTTTGCACATCATGCTGGGGAATAGCCAGGGTTTTGTAAAATCGTAATTTAGCTAGGTGACTAATAAAGTTTGCAGATACGTGCCCTAACACAAATGATATTTAATGTAGATGATAGCATGAACTGCTCTCATCAGTATTTATCCATTTTTATTCCTGCCTTGCTGTATTATTGCCAGCTTGCTATATTCACACACCCCACCTCACCTCTCACACAAATACATTTAATTTGCACACTGATGTTTTGGCAAATAGACAAATCAGCCCAGAAATTATACAGTCATCTGTAAAGTATTTGAGGAAGTAGGAAATGCAGAAAAGCTAAACTGGGGGGGGGGGGGAGAAACCCTGTCACTTGGAGTTGAGTTTGATTCACAAAATCTTAAGGCTGAGAGAGGAATGTTAAGTCCATTTAGGATTGTCAACTTTGTTCCATCAGCCTCCTGGGCCTTTTAACAGCTGCATATTAGGTTTAAATGCTGCTGCCGGTGCATTCCCCATCATGAGATACTGGGATGGGTAGCAAATCACCCATTAAATGTCTGCCAGGAAAAAAATGGCATCAAATTGCACAATGCAGCAGTTACTTCACAGTGGCTCATTGCTGTCCCTACCAGGATGCATCACAATCCATATTGGTCTTTGCTCATTTGAAAAAATCATAAAGTAGAACTGTCACCTGATTAAAGAAATGCTAGTTACTTGATCATATGGTTTTTAGTTGACTATAACTATGTAAATTTGTATCAGAATAAACAACAATGCCAGCATACTCTTGAATGCCTGCACATGTTGCAGTAGGCGCCATCTTACCAGAGACTTTTCATCCTCTGTAAGAGAGAGGGGACAGGGGATGCCTCTTCAAAGACAACACCTGCCATCTGCAGCTTTTTCTAAGAATGTTTTTAAAATCAGTTCTTTTGCTTTGCTTTTTAAAACTCACAGACCTTGTAAATAAGCCCATAGAAGTTACTAGCCTGCAGAACTGTTTACAAGCTTGCTGGTGGCTAACAAAGGATGGATGGAGAGCTCTGTTCCTTTTGCAACAAGCTGTGGCATTGTGTGCTGGAAGTAAATGGGAAAGGGTTTCCATCCTCCGGCAGCTCCCTTAGTCTCTTTGCTGGTTGCTCAGCAGGGACAAACTCGTCTATCCCTCTGTTAACACCACTCACTTGCCTGCTTAGAATTGCATCATCCGCTCAACCTGCATGCAATTCCTAATCACGTGTGGCTACCAGGCTAGTGCTTAAATGCAAGGCTGAGTCTTGGGCACCTTTTTAATAAATAAAAAGGTTTCTAATCTATATTAATATAATCAGCCGTACCAAGAAGGAACATTGCTGTGCAAGACTGTCGCTCCCAATGCTTTTACTTGTGGCAGATGCTAATGACACGAAAGAAGTGGGGGTAAACCCAGTATAATGGAAGTGAGGCTGAACCTTTTATTTAACTGCAGTAGGCCACAACTGAGGGCCAAATTAAACATGACTCTAAATGCATTTGGAAGTTGCATTTGTATGTTTGGTTGTTGTTGTTTTTACAGCTAATAGTGATATGTGGGTGGGAAATTCTATCCTCCGCTAAATATGCCTCATGCTGTCACTTCAACCCAGAAAGGGAGTTTCCATTGGTGCTGGTTGGAGCTATGAACTATAAAACAAGCAAACAAAACTTCAAGCATTTTAGTGTCCCAACTTGTTTTCCCTTGAGGTGTAGCAGTTCTTACAGGTTAAGCATTTAGACTCAAATATACATACTGAATAATGTGCAAATCCTTGCCTCTGGCTGGATAGATTATAAGCAGGCACTTGTTAAGTAGTAGCTGAGCTTTCCCAAGGATTTTGCTGAGTCACAGTGATGGTGTGTTTAGCAGGCATGCATTCATTCCAGCTTTACAGTAAGAGTCATTGTTGAAGCACCTTTCCCCCCTCAAGGTTACATTCTCGTTCTACAATAATTGGCACTAATGAATCACAGCTTCCCTCTGGTTACTCATTTTGATTACCTTTAGGTGAGGCTTTGACTTAGGCGGAAAAACCAAAAGTAGAGAATAATGTGTGTTTCAGATTATTCTTGCTGCTCATTACGAGCTCTTTAAATACTTTCTAGGGCACACGGGCACACATTATTAGGCCTCTTAACAACCGCAGCAGCCTACAGGAACAAATGAAGTTAGTTCAGTGAACTACACTAGGAGGGCTTGAATTTTGGTCTTAAAAACCTGCATTATGGAGCTGAATAATACTTGTCTGCAGCCCTGTTTCTCATGGTGTATGACTATGAAAAAAAGCTGTCCTCTCAGGGCACATTTATGTTAGAATCCTAAAACCAATATTAATCTGTGCTTAGGGTTCCAGTAATGTCAGACATAGCTTCTAAATGACTGTAATTTTGCATGGGTGCTGTAATTTTGCATGGGTGCTGACAGAATCTTGCTGCATCAGAGCAAAGACCTATCTAGTCTAGCCGGTTAGATGCCCCATGGCAGCCCACAAGCAGAATATGAAGACATTTCCCACTATTGTTTCCAGCAACCGTATTTCAGTGGCGTCCTGTCTAAATCTGGAGGTAGCATATAGCCATCATTAACTAGTGGCAGCTAATAGCCTTTTATATTCTATGAATTTGTCTAATCTGCTTTTAAAGCCATCTAGGCTAGTGGCTGCTACCATATCCTGCAGCAGCTCATTCCATAGGCTCATTCCACAAAGGGAGGGGGAGGGCTTTCTAATAAGATCAATACTTCCCACGATTCTTGGGGAGGGGGAGAAGCCATGACATTGAAGGCAGGCTTATGTCTCTAGTGCAAGCCTTATCGTAGAACAGGACCTCGGAGAGCATCCACAAGCCTTGTGTGACCTGTCAAACCAAATCCCCAAATACAGTCATAAATCTTGTGTCCATACCCCTGCGGATGGCAGCCATAAGAAATATGGCATAGCTAGTATAAAGCTTTAATCTGCACATGTGTAAGTTTTCTGTGATTACTTTGACACAGCCCTAAAAAATTGTGTTTTCTTCCTCCTGTCTTCAAAATTGACTCATTATTTTAAATTAGATTTTAAAATTATGTTTTGGTGACTATTTTCCAGAACGCATTTGCTGGATTGTTGGTAGAAACAGAAAGCTGGACTAGATGAGCCTTTGTCTGATTCACCTTTTAGGCTCATAAACTTTATTTTATGTCACATCCAGTACTATAAATCACTTAAGCTTTTTCAGTATAAATGAGTCACAAACCAACACAAACAAGACATTTGGATCGACCCATCTAATGAGGATTGTATACTTTCTCTCTGATTAAAGGAATAAATCAAAATACACTGGCTGCCAGAACAGAAATAACCCAAGACATCTTAATGCCTTTAGTATCATACACCCAGAGAGCATGCTTTGGAAACATTATAGCAACCTTTCGCAAACTTGGGTCCCCGGATGTTGTTGGACTACAACTCCCATCATTCCTAGCTACCAGGACCAGTGGTCAGGGATGATGGAAGTTGTGGTCCAATAACATCTGGGGACCCAAGTTTGAGAAGGCCGTGTAATAGTATGTGAAGTGCACTCATTCTGGTTGCAGCAAAGTCAGCGGTGGGAAACTTAAGGCCTTTCAGATGTTGCTGAACTAGAAACTTCTGTCCAGCATGGCCATTGTTCACAGATAGTTTGCTTTGTAGTCCAAGGGCATACGGGCAGCCACAAGTTTCCTGCCCCTGTCCTAATGGTGAAACCGAATGTAACGGCAGCAGGTCTGTGTTGAAATCCAGTTCTTCCCCAGCCACACAGGAAGCTGGGGATGGTGACAGGGTCTGAATTTAAGAATAAAAGGAAGTGATATACCGGACTTTCACGTGGCTGTCACTTGAAGTTTTTTTTATACCAAAAGTCTGTCAGGCTAGGAAGCATGTGGCTGGCATGATGGGCTGTGCCCCTGACTGCCTTTTGCTCCTAAGATCCAAACCTATTTTCTCCAGATACACAGATATGCTGCTGTAGCACCTAACTAGGTTATGTAATAATGATGCAACAAAAAATGGTAGAAAGAAAGGAAAGTACTCAAAAGCAAAATTCCTCAGAGGGCTGAAGCATGTTATAGGCTTTGAAGAAGAGCCAACAAAATCTATGTAGGAAGAGTGTCATTAAAGGCAAAATGTTTCATTGGGACTACCGTTGTATTGTCCATACTGTGTAGGCTTATCTGAAAAAGTGTTTTTCCTCCTTTGTCAACTTATGATACTGAATATTTAGTCCCTGCTTTTTGTTGTTCAATACGCAGCTACCGTGTTTATTGTGTCCTTGGTGATGGAGAATTGTCTGAAGGTTCAGTTTGGGAGGCAATGGCCTTTGCTGGGTTCTACAAGCTGGATAATTTGGTTGCTATTCTTGACATTAACCGACTTGGACAAAGTGACCCTGCGCCTCTGCAGCATCATGTTGAAATCTACCAAAAACGTTGTGAAGCCTTTGGGTATGTATGTATGTATGTATGTATGTATGTATGTATGTATGTATTTGAGAAATATATGATGTCTTCAACCTTGGTTGCTCTGTGCTCTTTTCAATTTGTGGATTGGGTTCGGAGGATCATTAAATGCAGAATCAAAATCTCTATGGGAAGCAGTCTTCCTACAGGGCTCTCCCACTGAAGGAAGAGGGCATTTTCCCCCTGATTCCTCCCCCCAAATTCCTGTGCTCTCTGAAAAGCTGCTCCAGAGTGTCAGGATACAGAGCACATGGGGCTACACGGAGAAGGCAGATTTGGTGAAAATCACCTTGCCTTCTTCATGCACTGGGAGCCTCCACTGAATCTCAATCCCTTCCACAAACAGAGACGTCTGCATCCAACTTGGAGCCATGATAGTCAATATAAAGGGATCATAAATACAGAAAAGTAAAGGCCAATACAGGTTGTTAAATTTTGTCCAGGAGTCAGCCTGTTCTTTCATTTGAAGAGCACAAAATGGCAAGGAAGCTTTTTTAAAATTTGTCTAGCCGTTGACAGTCATGCTTTCATAGCGTTTATTTCTGGCTCTGTTGAAATTTGTCACATTTGAGGAAACTGGCTATTTCCTCACTCCTTAAAACGCTTAAAGGCCCCATTGAACTATTTGAGTCTTTAGGTCTCATAGGTGTTGTCTCTATTTCAGAAAGGATTTATTGTTATAGATTCTTGTGTCCTTAACAAGTATTCTAGACCTTGCTTTAGTTTATAGTTATTTTAATAAAGTGGTTAAACAGGTTGAAGGTAGCTTATAGCCTTTGAGCCCACAAAGAGAATGCGATAGTAAGTGGAAAAAGTAAAAACTTATTATTCAGAGAGATAATTCTTGGTTTTTGCAAAGGTGCTTATGAATACTTGGAAGATATTTATCTTTTAGTCCATGATACATTCTTGCCTAATATTCTTAGCTACTGGTTCTTTTATTATTCCTTTATAAAGGTCAGGCTGAATATGCTAGGACTAAAATTTGCTACTGTTCAGTGTGCCATAAGTCAGTGACAAAGACGAATAAGCTAAGGCTGCAAGCCCAAGTGCAACATTTTCTGATTCTGACATGTCACTGGGATCAAAGAGAACTGTGTGTTCATTCCTAAACATCCAGGAGAGCCTGGTCTTAATTTCTTTCAAACTGCAGCTCCCCAGGCCACATGGTAAACTACTGAGGAGTTTGATACTGAAGAGGCATTATAAAGCGAACTGTGATACAGCTGGGCTTGGCTGTTCAAAAAACAAAGCAAAACATCTTATTGGGCGTGCCAAGCCCTTTGGTGCACTTAAGCTTTCCTTGGATCTTAGCTGCATCTTGCAACAAAAAATGGCATCGTGTAGCTTATTAATAATATATAACTATATGTACCAGTTCAGTGCTTGCTTCTGCTTATTCGGCACGGGGCTCTTATAAAAAGCTTTGCCTCTGCAAATCCTTTTAAAAGCTAATCTGTTTGTTTGCATTCCTAGTTGGCATGCTATCGTCGTCGATGGGCACAGTGTGGAGGAACTGTGCAAAGCCTTTGGCCAGGCCAAACATCAGCCAACTGCAATTATTGCCAAGACTTATAAAGGCAAAGGAATAACAGGTGATGCCAGGCGGCAGACTTTTCTGCTGAGCAGCAGCTACCGCTATGATTTGCTTGTTAATAGTATTTCTAGCCACTTTTTAAATTAAGGATAAGGATAAGGATAAGGATGATGATAAGGAATTACATAGTGCTTTCATAATACTTATATTGTCATGTAATCCTTACAGCAACCCTGCATTAACATTAACGCTGTTTTGCTGAAAGGGGTCTGAGACCGAAAGAGTGGTTTGCCTATGGCCACCTAGTAAGTTCAAGGCAGATGTGAGATTCAAAAGCAGGGGTTCCCTGAGTACAAGTTCAGTCTTTTCACCACTATGCTACACCAACTTTCACATTTATTTCATATATATATATATATATATATATATGAGAGAAATAAATAAATAAATACACCAACTATCACATTTATTTCTCTCTCATACACACACACACACACACACACACACACACACACATGAATGAGAGAGAAATAAATGTGATAGTTGGTATAGCATAGTGGTGAAAAGACTGAGCTGCAAGTCAATATATATACTGCTTGATTTCAGAAAACCTCAGATTATATATCAGTGTCATTAATGATTCCATTAGAAAATGTTTATGCCACATCACTAAGTGTGAAAGGCTTGATTTCCCCCAGTAAGACTTCAGTATGAACCAGTTCTTTGAAATCAGTTCCTCACTCAAGCTGAAATGCCTACTAAACATTTCTGCATTTGCAGGTGACTAAAATGGCAAGATGGCTGACACCTTATTACAGGGTGGCATGTCGCCTTCCAGACATCGCAGGAGTACAGCTCCCTCTATCCCTGAGCATTGGTCAGTGGCGTAGCTAACTGCTCGAGCGCCCGGGGCGGCGCAAATGCCCTGCACTCAGGGACACTGCAAGCTGCTGCTGCGCGGAACCTCCACAGAATCTGCAAGCCCCACATTGCCGTTTCGGGCAGCGTGGAGTCTGCAGGTGTCTGAGCCACCACGTCACTCCCCAGGAGAGATGTCTGAGCCACCACGTCACTCCCCAGGAGAGATGTGTGGCTCGGGCGTGCTGCAGATCAGGCCCCATGATCACCCACCCCCTCAGTGATGAAACCTGGGGTGGCCCGCATTCACCGCACCCCCTTCCTACATCACCGGCGTTGGTCATGTTGGCTGGGGTTGAAGGACACCATGTTGTCTATGCCTGCCTATAAGGTGACACAGTATGTGTCATAGTGGGAAACACTAGCTCTGAACTCTAAGCCTTCTCTTTTCACACCAAACTTCAGCTGTAAATTATTCTGCATATCAACATAACCCTTTGCTATATCTGATGTTATTTAGCCAGATTTGTGTACACCACAAAATCAAAAGCAAATCAAAACACTAAACAAACCTGATTAGCATACCTCAGGACTTGAATAATAGTCTTCCACACAAATTATATAAAATGTGATCAATCTGGGATATTAAGCAGAAATCTTTTTTAAAGCCCTGTTCTTAAGGGAGCATAACTCATTGATTATTGTAAAGGAAAAGCTTTTTGTGCAATAAACACGGTGCAAAAGTGTCAAGCATAGTGCTGAGATGTAAAGCTAAATAAAATAGAAGTTTAGACTCAATTCAAGGGGGATGAGGGAAGAAGAGTGGGCTAGCATAAAGGAGAATGCCTGTATATGTACTTCCATATTCCTGAGAATGGTTATGGTCCAATTATGAAGCCATCAGGAAAAGTGGAGTGTGCAGTATTCAAACCATAAATCAATGTACTACTTCAAGAGAATCACATGGACATTTTTTAAAAAAATTCAGTAGTTGTTAAATATGAATGCGATGCTCACTCATATCATATATTTATATCAAATGAAGTTTGAGTTAGCCTTCAAAATATCTCTTGTGCTTTTCCTCCTGCTTCACGTTAAGTAATCTGCCACTTTTTGGTAAATAGTAGGTAGGAATCATCATCTGCTTGGCTCTCCAGTATGAATTGTGAGCTGTCACAAGTGGCAGGACACATCAAATGTTTCATTAGCCGTGCAGCAGAGATCTTTGTGCTCCTTCTGCCTGCTTGGCGGTCTGTGCCCATTAAAAATTAAATAAAGCCCAGGCACATCTCCTGAATTTGGATACGTGCAAGGATGTGAATTCCTTTCTGCTCTGGTAGAGAACCAGCTGAAATCACAATGAATAATGAATCTCTTTGCGCTAGGCAACTGGGGGTTTGTGCCACTATGCATTTATCATGTATTCCCCCCTCCTCCCCATTATGTTACATTTTTAATCTTGTGCATCCATCAGCTGGCTTAAGCCATTTCAAAAATAGCTAAATAAACTTAGGATATTTGTCATTTTTCAGGAACAAATGCTGCCATTCTGTGAGACTTCTGTATGGCGAAAAGAATCCAGTATTTAGCTCCTGTTACTGTGAGAGCTCAGTCTGTCTGATGCTCTTTCCCGAAGCAAAGAGACGTTTCGTGCTTGCACAGAGTGCCTGCTTATTCAGGTCCTTAATTACAGAATACCTAGCATGTCATTATTGCAGTCAAGGTTATTGATTTGCTGGCTTGATTTTATTCATTTACTTGAACACATAGCGCAACCTGCTCCAAGGGTTTAGCTAGCAGGATTGCAGAAGCAAAATTGTGATGATACGTGTTGCAGAGGCTCATGATCTAAAGAGGACTAAGAGAGGCCAAAAAGGGATAATAGCAATATGCATTTATGTTGTAATTGAACTGATGCAGATGTGTGTGTTATATTGTCATTCTAGTGGGCCCAAGCACCAAAGGAGATTACTCTAGAAAGGAGGTGACGAGAAGATGAAGGGAGGAATTACTAGGACTATATTTTTATTAATTGATTGCTAGGTCCTTGGAGAAGCTCAGGGATCTCCCTCCCCTGCTTCCCAATTTTAAACTCAAAGCAATTCTGTGAAGTAAGTCAGGCTGAATGATAGTGACATTGGATGAGTGGGGGGGGGGGAGTGAGGATTTTAACCCAGGTATTTCCAGTCTTAGTATGACACTCTGATGACTGGTTCAGCATCAGCATCTTTGAATAATGGAACCGGGAGTATAATGGGGAGGGAGAAGGAATTCAGCTGTAGGGGCATCAGGGAAGTGTGTCAGGAGACTTTCTGCAGGATCAAAGGAATACAGTAACAGGAATGAGGCAGGCTAAGGCATCGCTAGCTTAAACCTCATAGGAAGTTGATTGCATTTGCAAATAACCTTATTAGCTTACTTGGGCCTAACTCAGAAGAAGCTGCTGATTTTGACACTTTGAGAAAGTGTATTGTATTTAACTTAATTCCTTTTTTTAATTATGTGTATGGTAATCCGCAGGTGTTGAGGATAAGGAAAACTGGCATGGCAAACCTCTTCCCAGGAACATGGCTGAGCAAGTCATTTCAGAGATTGATGATAGAATCCAGAACAAGAAAAAGCTTTCTCCAGCCCTTCCGCAAGAAGACGCACCAGTTGTCAGCATCAGAAATGTCAAGATGCCTTCACCACCAAATTACAAGTTGGGAGAGAAGGTAGGATGGTCTTTCTCTGTTCTCCTCAAGCAATTCTAGCTTAGGTTTATATTTGCGATTGGAAAGGTGCTTTTGCTCACTATTCTGGGAACTGCGTTTTTTATGGAGTTGATTAATAAGAATAAACAACTTTCAGTCCAGAATTCTGTAAAATATTCCAGATGACATTCAGCCACCTACTCAGCGGAGTTCCAATTGTAATAAATTCATCATAGTAGCAAAATGCCCATTCAAAATGTCACACCTTTTGGGAGAAGAGTAAATGCTATTTCAAACTATTGAAGATGAGCCAAACTTGATCTTGTACATGTGAGTCTCAAAGCAAATGCTTTACTTCATGCCTGCTTAAGGCCATAATTCTAGTGAGTCACTTCTAAGGTAACTGCTAAGAATGGGACTTGTGGAGCCATCACACGTGAGATGCCTTGCGCATTCAGGATGGCTGCAAGTGAAGGCTGCAGGTCCCTACTTCAGACTGGAAGGGATACATCCTGATCAAATTTGGTTGCCATATCTAGACCCAGGTAGACTTCTTGTTTCTTTAAGAATGAACCAGGTAGAGAGTTTGCCTGTCCCTCTTGTCTAGTAGTGGCAAAGTCACGTGACTGGCCAGTTTTCTCCTTCACCTGCTGTGATGCAGAGCAAGTTATAACTGTCAGGCAGCTGAACTAATGCAGCAAATGGGAGAAGAAAAGGAAGACTTGCCAGTCTCTCTCCCTGTCCTCAGATTTGAAGAGCATGGAAATCTTACCTGAGCCTGCAGACAAAAACCTTATGGAAACTCTTAGATGCCAAAGTAAACAGAGACAGAAGGAGAAACTCATGCAAGGGTGGTTTGGGGTTTCCACTTCTCTAGGGAAGTGCTGGTTGTGTTCCCATGGCTAGCTTTTAGTCAAGTAAAGGACAACACTGCACTTGTTGTGACTGTATGAGGACAACCCGGCTTCTCTCAGCAGTTTCCCCTGAGGCCCTTTCCTAGGTCTTTCTGCTTCAGCTGTGATGTGTTTGATGACTAGTATAAAGACCCTTGTACTACTAGCACAACACCAGAAAGCTTGAAGTTAACCAGGATTGCAAGGACATATTATAGATGCTTCAGTTAGCTATGACTTAGGATCAGAATGGTAAACATTTAAAATGTTGGCGGTAAGTTAATTAATAGGTTAGACTGTTAAGATAAATTACCCAACAAAAATTGAGAAAGATGGAAAGAATTTGCTGAAACAATTAATTAAACTAGAACACAAAAAGGGAGGTGTGAGGAGGTCGATGAAACAAGCAAATGAAAGATAAAGATATGGAATATTGGATGTGTGTTTTTTGTTGTATTGTTGTATTGGTTTTTATGTACTTCCCCCCCTTTTTTAATGTATTGTAATGTATGTTTTGTAAAAAATTTTTTTTTCCTTTTTTCTGTTTTCTGTAATCTTTAAACTTTTAATAAATATCATTTTAAAAATAAAATAAAATGTTGGCGGTAAGTATGAGGTATTGATGTGACATACTATAACATACAGGGGAGCATTAGAGATTCTTTGAAACTCTTCAGTGTAATATTGGTCATGCAGAGTTTTGTCTTGGACTCATTTTCGAAGGTTTTTATTTATGAGATTTGCAGTTGCAGCATAGCAGAATAATTGAACATAATGAAAACGGGGCATCTATGTCCTTTTCCTCTCCACAGTTTGCTACTCGCAAAGCTTATGGCTTGGCCCTTGCCAAACTGGGCCATGCCTGTGACCGTGTGGTTGCTTTGGATGGGGATACCAAAAATTCCACTTTCTCTGAGCTCTTCAAAAAAGAGCACCCCAGCCGTTTCATTGAATGCTACATCGCTGAACAAAACATGGTAAGGTGGTTTGTTTGGGTGTTTCTTCGTTTGTTTCTTCCTTCAAACTAAGCAGGGTTTTTTTGGATAAATTCTCACTCTCATAATTAAACCATTGCCATTACCCTACCTTTATAAATAAGGTTTCGTATTCAACTAAGTCATCCTTGAAGCAGACCCTTTGAAATCAATAGACTCAAGTTAGTGCTGTCCTTTGATTTCGGTGGCTCTGCTCTGAGGATGACTTGGTTAGATACAATGTCCTAAAGAGCTTAGAGCAGTGGTTCCCAACCTTTTTTGGGGGGGGCATGCCCCACCTAAACATCTCTAAAATCCTGATCCTTCCCAGTGACATATAATTCTTATTACTGTATTCAAAAAGGGAACTCCTGTTCACATGGAGGAAGCTAAAAGGCCATTAACTTGGTCTAACTCATTCTCAAATTGCCCCCCTTAAAAATCAAATTGCCCCCCTGTGGGCATGTTCACATGTTGGGAACCATGGGCTTAGGGCATGCACTGCAACATGCAACGGCCAGGTTGATTCAAGGGCACATTTCATAGTGCATCAGCCCTATAGTTCTCCTCCTCTTTCAGCCCCATAGTTAACCACCTCTTTCCCTCCCACCTCTTTCAGAGCATCTCCTGCCCTGTTTCTCCTTTCCCTCAGGCCTTGGACAGCTTGCTGGTGCTCTCCCTATATCCAGCCTACCGTTGTCAGAGAGCTTCTGCTTCAGAGCTCTGCAGATCAGGCTGCTGCAACCAGAGCCATTACTTCCAATTTCTTGAGGAGCTTAAGCACATTTCGTGCATCACAAACATGTGCACGAGAGCAGGCTGCACTGCTATGATCATTCTGTTGGCACATGTAACTCTTATTTCCTTTCCCACTCCTCTATGCACTCCAGCTCTATTAGTCAGTTAGTGACGTAGCAATTGGACCAAGAGCATGGAAACCCACGTTCATTCATCCATTAAACTTACCAGCTGATCTTGAGTCACTTTCTCTACCTTGTTGTAAGGATAACGTAGGGAGAAGGGAAGAGCTTTGTATACTGTCCTGAACTTCTCCTCAGAGGAAGAATATAAATATATAAAACGTATATAGTTTATATAGGCATAAAACATTTAGCTAACTCAGCATGTAGCACTCACATTTTGCTGGAACTGGTTAATCTGCTCTTCCCCTCCCCCCCCCAATTACAGGTGAGCGTTGGCGTTGGTTGTGCAACCCGGGACAGAAACATTGTGTTTGCCAGCACCTTTGCCACATTTTACACCAGGGCATATGATCAGATCCGCATGGCAGCCATTTCCGAGAGCAACATCAACCTCTGTGGATCTCACTGCGGTGTATCCATTGGTAGGTGTCTTTAAATTTCTTCAGCAAATTGCCTTAGTCTCCCAGATGCAGGCACACAGACAGCTCATAAAACTAAGAGGCATGGTTAAAGTTTTAACTCCGTATGAGTTTGAAACAAATACAGTGGTACCTCGGGTTAAGTACTTAATTCGTTCCAGAGGTCCATTCTTAACCTGAAACTGTTCTTAACCTGAAGCACCACTTTAGCTAATGGGGCCTCCTGCTGCCGCCGCGCCACCGGAGCACAATTTCTGTTCTCAACCTGAAGCAAAGTTCTTAACCTGAAGCACTATTTCTGGGTTAGCGGAGTGTGTAACCTGAAGCGTACGTAACCTGAGGTACCACTGTATTCAAATCTAAACTTTGCTTTACCCGTGAAGTGGAAGTAATTTCGAAATTCTGTAGGAATCTTCCCCCCCTACCTTATTACTGTACAAATTTTATTCTCTGCTTTTTATTTGATATCACTTGTTGCATCATAGAAGAAATGAGGCTTGTAAAACTGATGGTCTGCTAAGTCCTTTGACCAAAGTGTACTTTTCAAACCTCACATAGTTGATCTGCCTACAATAGACATTCCATGTATACATTAGAGACAAATAAAGTGAGTTTTGGATGTATCGGAGATTGTTCCAACATGTGCTAGAAAATGCTGTGTATTCTCGTTTAGTTCCAAATGACCATTACACTTTACCATTGTGTCAACGGGCAGGACGCTCTGGCTATACCCAACAAAATTAAAACAGCAAAGCAAGCTTTTCCCCCAAGCTTTTATTCTATTATTGCTATATGGATAATGACCTTGTTTGTACATAATACTAAACCAGACTATGACTTAGCAAGAATCAGCAAGCATGTGGGTGCCCAGCATGAAAACTGATGCGCTTTGTCATTCCCCTGGTTCTGCTGCACTGCCATGAGCCAAATACATGTTTTAATTTAGCATTTTGTGTAAACTTATGCTTGTGGTTCGCCTTGCTCCCAAGAAACCAGAGTTTATACCAAGCAAAAACCTTGGTTATTTGGGGGAGACAAGCCTCAAGTCTGTGTTCAAACATAACCCTAAGCCAAACCCTGGTTTAGCTACAAGCAGTGCAATAGCATGACCAGAGATAAGCAAAGTAACCATAATTTTCTCTCTGGGTACCTGCATGCTTGCTCATTCTGGCCAAGACATAATTTGCCTTAGGGGTGTGTGCAAATTGGGTTATTATGAACAGTGTTTTGTCTGATAGATGTGAGTATAAATCACCTTTGCCAGCAGCTGCCAGATCTTTGGGAGCAATATTGTTCCTTCATAGCTCATTGACAAAGTGTATGGTTCAGTAATGATACCATACTATAAGCTGATTAGAACTGCAAGTGGCTTATCACAAATTTCTTCTTAAATCTGAGCTTTGGAAAGCACAGTGGAAGTTTCCTTATTGGCTTAAGTGTTGCTCATGCTGCACTCAGAGTTTGCTCTGGAAATGTAAGCAGTGAAGCCTGAACAGCTTGGCAGTGGTTCAGGAATTTTCAGCTTGGGTTTTGCTATACTTGTCTCTCAGTGCTGTCGCATGTTCAGGTTGCTCGCTTTAGCCATTAATTAGCCTCAGATTCTTTCTAACACCACTTGCCACTTGTGCTTCTCTTCAAAGAATTTCCAGTTGCTTCTTCAACAGTACAGTGAAGCCAAGCCCTCTTTTAAGTACAGGTGCCAGTGTATTTCAGTGCACGCATTCTATTACTGTTTGTAGGGTGGGACATGTGCTTTTGTTTTTTGCACATGCCAAGATCTTATTTCAGTAGATCTCTCACGGCCATCAGGATAAAAGCTTCGCCTACTTCTGAAGTGTGTGTTTGTATGTAGGAGGCTGCAGGTTCAATCCTTGCCCTTATCAGGAATGGGATCTTAAGTTCCAATGATGAGAGAAACCTCTACCCCCTCAAGTTTATTAAAATGCAGAGATGCACAACCGACTGGGGCTTTTTGGGGTCCTTGACTAAATAGGTATATATATAAAGGATGTGGTAGTGTCATTTCCGTAACTCTTACTGCATCCTGTGTGGCAATTGTACTGAAAACAGGAAGCAGACACTTTTCCACATTTTAAAAAAAATGACTTTGGAGTGGCCCGCTGGCTCCTTTTTAAGGCAGACAGTGTTCACAAGTCAGTTCAGCCAAGTAGAAGCTGGAAAAAATGCACTCAGTTCTTCTAACTGGTTTCCTGTAAATACTTTTCTTTTCTACCAGAAGGGCACAAGTGCATCCACAGCTCTTCCTACTGCTGGCCCTGGAGGGATTTGAACTGTGCCATTCACTGCTCTACACACACACACACACACACACACACACACAAAACCACACACCCAAATATATCCCTAATTATATTGCATCTCTCTGTGGGTTTCATTAAGCCAATCTTCGCTGAAAAGTAAGCTTCTTATGAGCTTCAAGTGCCCGCTCCCAGGATGGGACATTCTGATAGAATCATGAATTCTTCTGTGTTCCACCAATAATTGTCACCTTGTACATTTTTCTTTTGCCAGTTGGCTAAAATTGTGCATTTATTTTCTTTCATTTCTGTACTCATGTATGTAGCCCTATATCCCGTTTCCTTCTCCTTTTGCCTCTGTGGTAGTGGTGGTTTAGTTTCTGCTTTATTGTTTTAGTTACCATTTACGTCTGCATTTTTCCATGATTTTTCTTTATAACCCTAGTTTTCTTTCTTTTTAGTTTCCTTCTATCTTCTTTCTTTGCTATTTCCAAGTTTAAGCAGAAGAGGGTAGGTAGCCTTCCATGTCCTGTGAGTGCCTTATATTTATTTTGGATGCCTTTTGTTTTAAGAAGCATACAGAGAAGTTTGTTCACTTTTCAACACTGATATTATTCTTTCACCCCCCGCCCCTAAACCATCTCTTTTCTAGGTGAAGATGGACCTTCACAGATGGGGCTGGAAGATCTGTGCATGTTCCGTGCCATTCCTAATTCAACTGTATTTTACCCTAGTGATGCTGTATCCACTGAAAAGGCAGTGGAATTGGCTGCAAATACAAAGGTCTGCAACTCTTCCGCAGTGTGCTTGCTTGGGAGTTTTAGAGCAGGGGTGGGGAACCTGCTGGCCCTCCATATTTGGCCTGCAAGTTCGTTTCAGGCAAGCCTTACACCTGACATCATACATGACATCAGATGGAGGATAGGTAACGTTGGGATGCCTCATTGTGCAGCACTTCCCAAGTGCAGTGGGCATTAGGAAGTAAATGTGCAAGGGACTTTTGACAGGCGTCAATCGCCTGGCATCCTCATGACCTCAGATGATTGACAGTTGCTGCATAGGGATGGGGAAAAGATAAAGATCTGGCCCATTACTGCCTCCAGATCTGAAGTTTGCTCTCTTCTGTTGCAGAGGCATATAGGGAAGGGTGCCCATTGCTGTGAATTTGTCAGAGTTTCATTGTTGGTTGGCTGTTTATTCCATTCCATTGATACCCCACTTTTCTTCTGTCATGGAACCCAAGGTGTCATGCTTATAATACCTGGGTGGTCACCCATCCAGAACTAGACACACTCAGCTTTAAAAAGACTAGTTTTGGTGTTTGGATTTTTAAATGTCTTTTTCCCGTTTTGAAGTTTAATTCCATGGGCTATTGTGGGTGTTACAATCTATCCTGTGTTCATTTTGAAAACAGGGCATCTGTTTCATACGAACCAGTCGTCCAGAAAATGCCGTGATCTATGGCAGCAATGAGGATTTCCATGTTGGACAAGCCAAGGTGAGCGCCATTTTGAAAGTTGCTAAAAGACTTGAACTACAAGAACGTAGTCATTGAACATAGTGATTATTACTAGCTTTTTTCCAGTAAATCTAGAACTTTCTCTAATTCTTTGTTTTACTGTTGTTATCAGGTGGTATTCAAGAGCAAAGATGACCAGGTCACGGTTATTGGAGCAGGAGTAACTCTGCACGAGGCCCTGGCTGCAGCTGAGCAACTGAAGAGAGGTGATTACACCAAACTCTTTTGAGAAAAGCACACCACCCATCTTGTAGGGAAGAACATGAGGGCTATAAAGGGGGGGGGGAATAGGAAATTCTTTAGAAGTGTAATCTAATTACTACACCTTTCCTTGGAGCCTTAAGTCTATTTTTAAAAAAAAACAAGAAAAAAGTTAGTTTAATATATAAAATCAAACCCAAACATGTACCTTATCTGTAGCAACGTAGCCCTGGTACGAACAATAGAGACTGGAAATGTGATACGGATTTGCATGGCCTCTCTTCCTTGTGAATTTCCATGGTTTGTTTAACAATGGTGTAACATTACACCACTAACATCACTGTTAAGAATAGCTAACTAGATTCCCTTTTGACAGGGACTGGTGAATCTGATGCAAACTGGTTCTAAACACTTGAGGTCACCCTGGTTCGGAGTAACTATGATCAGCCTCAATGCATGTACAAGACGAACCATGGATGAAAGGGAAGGAGGGAAAGGAGAAGTCAGTGAGCATGTGGTATATTGATTAGGAATATTGCATCTGCACAAGATCTTACTAGATGGATAGTCCTGGATAAGTAAACCATGGTTTGCTTCACAATAGATGAAATGTCACCTTTCCTGAAACATATAGGTTGCACCATACCTGAACACTTTCAGTTGCCGGCTACCTAACTGGCAGTAGTTCACATATTCCCATCCTCATTTTGCTCCTTGAAACACATGTGTTGCTACTCATTTCACTGCAGATATCATCATTTTAGTATCGGAAGTGTACTGGTCCATGATTATCCAAGACTATTGGCGTTCTCCAACATAACCTTTGGTGGAATAAAGGAAATCTCACTATTGAGAAGTCCACAAGATGATAGTACAGTGGTGCCTCGCAAGACGAAATTAATCCGTTCCACGAGTCTCTTCGTCTTGCGGTTTTTTCGTCTTGCGAAGCACGGCTATTAGCGGCTTAGCGGCTATTAACGGTTTAGCGGCTTTAAGAAAAAGGAAACAAACTCACAAGAACTCGCAAGACGTTTTGTCTTGCGAAGCAAGCCCATAGGGAAATTCGTCTTGCGGAACGACTCAAAAAACGGAAAACCCTTTCGTCTAGCGAGTTTTTCGTCTTGCGAGGCATTCGTCTTGCGGGGCACCACTGTACTAATAAGTTAATGCAATTATAGCCATTGGATAAATGAGCAGGCAACTGTGCTTTAAGAAGACTGAAGCTGAATGATGACCTTGTGCTATCTAGTTCTTTAGATATTCCATAAGATAGCTTCTGGGTGTCTTAATTCTTCTGGGGATCAATTATCATAGTAAAGGTCCTTGGAAGTGGGTCATGAGTGCCCTCATTCTAGGGAATGATGAAATGAGAAAGTAAGGCTTACGTTTAGTTATCAGTCAGCTTGTTTTTGACCGTATTCTGGCCATTCTTAGAACCCAAATACTTAGTGGTTTCAAAGACTCCATTGGGATGCTTTAATAAATACGTATGAAACGTTAAACATTAGCAAGTCCCCTCTCCTGTGTTTTGTTGAGCCACATGCTCTGGTGCATAATTCTGTTCCCATTCTTTTTCTCAGAAAAAGTTTCCATCAGAGTGATTGACCCATTCACTATAAAACCTCTGGATAAGAAAACTATACTTGAAAATGCAAGAGCAACCAAAGGCAGAATTATCACTGTGGAAGACCATTACTATGAAGGTAGGTCAACACACATGATAACAAAGGAAAAAAATCCAGTACTGTATATACGCCTCTCCCATGGGTGTCCATTTTTTTTCCTTTTAAATTCCTCTTCTGTGCTGGCGGATTTTTTATATTTTGTATATTGCATTGGACATACATGGAAGGTGATTAATAACGATGATGAGAAATACATGGACACAGATTATTTTCTAGTTCCTGTGCTTCAGCTCTACTTATACATGGTACAGACACCTAGAGAAATGAAAGAGATTTCTCTTATGACTATCCTAGCTTGACAATCCTAGCTTGGGTGTCCTCTTGCAACAGTTAAACATTGTTGTGTTGGAGTTGCATTTCCTGCTGTTGTAGTGGAGCTGCTGGCTCTCCAGATATTACTCTATTATCCCTGACCATTAGTTGGTTGGGGCTGATGGGGTTGGCTGGGGCTGATGGGGGTCCAACATCATTTAATAAGCTACATATCTAAGACATTGTTTCCTCTATTTCAGATATTCAGGGTATGAGCGCCATTAGTTATATAGCCAAAATGGCACCATCCTCGCAGAATGGGGAGGTATCAGCAGGCTTGGGTGGACCCCAACATTCCCAGAAAAAAATTCTTTGGGGGGGGGGAAATAGCTAAGGAACCTCAAAGATGTCCATTGAGGAATGAACAAGCTCTTTGTGCTCAGAATGCTGATTGTTTGCTGTGGAGGGGCGGGGGAATGATACAATGGAATGGAATTTTGTGGAGGAAAGCATAGCTAACTGGCTGGCTGGAACACTAAAAAGGAGCACTCCACACTGCAACATTTTACCACAGGTCCTCCTTTAGACATTTCTAAAATAGCATTTTTGTATCTCCTGTGTCTTCATGATCAACTACTCTACTTGGATGGCTTGTGTGGACTCTTGGAGATCAGCTGTCTTGATTGGGCATCAAAGCACTAATCTTCTTAGAAGAAAAACTGTTTAGGCAAAAGCCTCTCATGGGACAAACAACTTTGCAACCTTTCCAATCCCTCTGAACTATCCAATTGTTTTCTTTTTAAATAGCTGGATTAAGCTGCTTACAAAGAAATAAAGCTTGTTAGCCTTGACTTATCATCCATTTGTATATTATCTTTCCCTAGGTGGCATTGGAGAAGCTGTTGCTGCGGCTGTGGTTGGAGAACCAGGGATCACAGTCACTCGCTTGGCTGTGTCCCACATACCAAGAAGCGGAAAATCAGCTGAGCTGCTTAGGATGTTTGGCATCGATAAGGATGGCATCATCCAGGCTGTGAAGGTGGCAGTGTCCAAATCAAGGAATGCAGAGTAGTTTGTGTTGTACACCCATTGTGTTCTGGGGCAGTGTTTTGGGATAAGGATGGTTAAAAAGAAAACCAAACACTGTAGCTTTCAAACAGGGTTGAAATTATATGCAGAGTTTTAATGGAAGAATTCTAATAAAAGTAAAAGTTTTGGGAGAAAAATCATATTTGCTGTTTTGAACTGTTAGGATTTCTGGAAACCTACATGCTGATAACCTAAAACCGAAAGATCCAAGAACATTGCTGTAATTTAATGTACCAAAATGATTTATAATGCTTCTCTTTTCTCCAAACACTTGTGGGATTGTGAATTTTATGGCTGACCATAGGGCTTTGAATGTAGCACTGTGACATCTCAGTCCCTTCTTCTATTTCCATTGTACTACTAGCCCTGAGAAACGTTTTTCTCTCACACAACTGCCAGCTTGTCCAGAAGGATTCCACCTAAACATTAGGAAGAACTTCCTGACAGTAAGAGCTGTTCGACAGTGGAATTTGCTGCCAAGGAGTGTGGTGGAGTCTCCTCCTTTGGAGGTCTTTAAGCAGAGGCTTGACAACCATATGTCAGGAGTGCTCTGATGGTGTTTCCTGCTTGGCAGGGGGTTGGACTCAATGGCCCTTGTGGTCTCTTCCAACTCTATGATTCTATGAAATACTTCCCATTTGGCACAGTAGTGAAATACGCTATACAGAAGCAAACAATTCACTTCAACTGCCTGCTTCCTATGTTCAGGTGAAACATTTCAATGCACTGTATTTTCAACCAAGAGTAGTGGGGCTGTTATTTCCTCCATCCTCCTCTTCCTCTATCGCCAGCTGATTCTGCTCATATTTTCTGGTGTCCCTTTCGTACTTGCTGTCAGCCTCTGTCTCTGCAAACTGGCTGGAGACTGATGGGAGTTGTCTACTCATCCCTGTCTTAAATACTGACCAAACACACTTCTTGTGCATGTGCTGAGAGAAGAAAACGACATAGCCCATCGCTTTAGGAAGGCCAAGAGCCCAATTTTCTGTCCCTCAGTCCTGTCTGCTTGAGATCAGTGCTGACTGAGCTGGAATATCTGGACTGAGTCTCTGGCTCACCCATCACTGATTTAAAACAAACAAGTACCCACAGACAGCATGTCCTTGGGCTTCTCTGAGGTTTATGATCTATTATTAGCCTGCTCAACCATCTGCGCTCGGAGCAAGGTGGAGCATGCCATCTTGAGTGTATGGGGAAATCAAACGGAGGTTAAGGGAGTAGAGGAGGAAACAGCAGCTTCTTATTATTTATTCATTATTTGTATCCTGTTCTCTTCAGCTGCAGAGTTCAGAGAAACTTGCAGATTGCTCCCAGATGGTCTCCCATCTTGGGGCAGACCTACTTAGCTGCAGCCTGTTTGTGTCTGTAAGTGTGTACATGGCTCCTATTGTCTCCCAGTGCAGTTCACCAAAGTGGTTTTCCTGAACCAGAATGCCATTCAGCAAGCCCAGCATGGGAAACTCCCTTGTTAGGGAATCAGATCATTGGTCCGTTTAGCTCAGGGGACAGCAAACTTTTTCAGCAGGAGGCCAGTCCACTGTTCCTCAGACCTTGTGGGGGCTGGCCTATATATATATATTGGGGGGAATTGAATGAATTCCTATGCCCCACGAATAACCCAGAGATGCATTTTAAATAAAAGGAGACATTCTACTCATGTAATAACACGCTGATTCCCGGACCGTCTGCGGGCCGGATTTAGATTTGGCCAGATCCAGTCCCCGGGCCTTAGTTTGCCTACCCATGGTTTAGCTTAACTTTGGCTACACTGACTGGCACCAGCTTCCCAGGACTCCAGGCAGAACATTCTCAGCCTTGCCTGGTGATGCCAGGGATGATAATGAGGTCTTTTGCATAAAAGCAACTACTCTGCCTCTAAGCTGCGTCCCTTCCCAGGCATGGGTCCGTTTGGTAGCGAGATTTGGCTTGCCTTTGGAAGCCAAAGGACGCATGCAACTATTCACTTCAAAATATAATTCTGCTGTCTTCTACAAATGACATTTCAGGGCCTCTCATGAAAGTGTGGTGCCTGATCTGACTAGATGTGTGTAGCCATCAAGTGCATTTGGATACACTGACCTTCTGCATCTACAGCAATCCTTACTTCTCAACTGGACTTTTGTGATTCTAAATTAATTTATGATACTTACAGAGGTAGGACCACGCACAAACAACAAAACGGAAAATCTGTAACTTGTCAACATCAACAGCAGCCTTTCATATGTATATCAATGTAACGACACAGCATCAATGCATTTTTTAAAGGACACAATTCAGACATCATTCAGGCCAGCATGAAATGAAGCAAAGGTGACATAAATTCCAATAATTTAAGCCATTGTTCTTTTGACAGATATTTTTAGTTAAACATAAATTGTTATTAGTGAAATAGCTGGATTACATTAATACAGTTAAGAAGAATGTTAGGAACTTCCACCCACCTCCTAATTTTAAAAATACTTGCTCTTCCCCTATGCGTTTGATACAGGGCATTTATTTCAAAATATTTCCCCAGATTTAGTAGGAATATTTCAAAACAATGGGCTTATGAGTTTCAGCTACATTTTGTGGGGTTTTTTTTTACAAACGAAGTACTAATATTACCAGATCTTCCAAGTTCACTTTGCCATTTGAGCTTTTATTCACTTTTCAGAAGATTCTTTGCCACAGTCCCACCCCCCCCCCACCCAAAACACCAGTTTTTTAAAATTTGAAGTTGTCAAGATTGAAGATTGGATGAGGTATTGAAGCTGAATTCTTGGTCAAATGGCCAAGAGAGAAAATAAGATCTGCCCAAAGGTATTAAACATTAATGAACTAAAGCAAATCAGGTATGTTCACATCAGAGTTCTTACTACTTTCATCAAACAATAAAGACTTTGTTCCCTACTGTACATTTACACTGCCCAGCCTTTTCGTTACCTTATCTTACCATGCCTTACCAAAACAAACAGTATCCTGATAAAGGTACAGTAAAATTCCTCACCTGAATGTAATGCATAGCACTGTGCTGGATGCCCCATGATCCAGATAAAGGCAGGAGCAACAGAAGGCTGCTCTTTGAAGAGATGAGGAAACACTGCATGCAAAATTACACCTTTGAAATAACGCTCAAGATACGGGCATTAGGATTGCCCATTGCTTGCATTATGTAGCATAACGTTTTTCTAAAGCGTATCCCATATGTTAGCGAGAAATGGGGTATCGTTCCTGTGACATTGGATGACAGGATGGTAGTACAACGAAGAGCAAGAACCAGCCAAAGACGTCCATAGAAGTTCCACCACAATGAATAGAAGCTGTCCCACAGCAATGGCTCATGGCTGCCACATGGAGGCCACTTCCAAGTTGTTCCACAGGCCAGCTGTGGTCATGCACAGTGATTACCATGTGAACTAGCTTTCCCCACACAATCACAAAGGACTTGAGAAACGTGTCTTGAAGCTATTTCACATACTAATCATCATATGAGCTGGCTCACGGAATATGTAAAGCACTTCCCATGACGTAGCCATGGGCTATACACAGTCCTTTGTCCTGACCAAGTGTAGGGAAGGCGATTTCAGCCATAGATAAGAGCAGCATTGTTCAGTGTTGGTGAGACCTGGTGCATGGTAGAATACAAGATAGAGTGGAAATAGCTGATATTCATTCACAAAGTGGGGTTGCAGCATACAGCCACAGACCCAATGAGTACGAAAAGGTTGGCAACTTTTACATATATCTCTCAACATACACCAAGGAAGCAAAGGATTCACTGTAAGCATGATTCTTTTCTCCAACTGAGGAAATTTCACATTTGTATAGTTAACATGTTATTTTACATTGGCCATAATAGACCTGTAAACATCTTGTCAATATTAACAGGATCCACCCAGCTCTGCTCCGATTTAGTTAATCTTTTTCAAACCTACACAATGACAAAGGGAGAGAGAGAGAAACTCGTCAGTATGATTATTTCAAAATACCACACATTGGTTTGTGGGTCAGAAAAGATAGCACTTTCACGAGCATTTAATTTAGAAGTTTGAAAGAAGCAGGGATTTTAGAGGCAGCAGTCCCAATAGGCACAAGCCTGCTGGTTAAAAGCACAAAGAAGTCTGTGCTTTTAGTACTCTGTCTCTAAGGACCCTCAGGGAAGTTTACATGGGTCTCCCCTCAAAACCTGGAGCCATGACAATCTTTGGAGCTGACACACAATCTTTTAATCCTGAGCCCTTTTTTCCTGGGATGAATAGAGTTTTTCTATTAAAAAATGGCAAAACTACAACTATTATCTATGTGCTGTACCCAAATGATTCCACGGGGGTATATAAAGACACTTCAAGAGGGCAGTAGGTATTACCAGGCGCTCTGACGCTCTGAAGCAGGGGGATGAAACTTTCCAGGATACTTCTAATGCGGTGCACTATTAGGGAAATGAAAGACAAATGGTTATATGCAAAGAAGCAAAGAAAACTGGACAAGCTAATAGCTCCACTACAACTCAAACTGTAATATAAACATCAAAGGAATGTTGGTATATTTTAAAGTTTATACCTAGGTATAAATACGAAGCAGCTTATTGCTGTCTCAAGTGGTACATGTGAAACACTTACCCAGACCAAAATATATTCCAGTTGTTTCTAAGCCTGCGAAGGTCATCAAACCAATACCAAGGGAAACTGTCCAGTCTAAAAATATACATATACATGTTTGTATTACATTATGTTCTGTGTTACCCAAATGAAAGCAGTGCATTCCAGTTTTGATGTACCTTTATATCTGTAATAGCAAACCAACAAGGTTCCAATGGCAAAACAAAGAATGACAAAATGGAAGAATTCATCTGAAATGAGAGAGAAGAGAGAAGAAGGTTCTTACGTTCTTAAAGGATATCACAAAATCAAACTCAATGCCCCTATTGGCTGCAATTTGAAATTTTCTTGTACTAGTGAAGGTCGTCTGCTTTTGGAACACATATGTTTGTGGAGGGGGTAAGGTGATGATTACTCACATACTTTAGACCAACAGCCAGTACTTTCACTAACTGCACTGTACATATATATAATTTATGTATACTTTCCAGAGGCATCAACTCAAGTGAAAAACTTAAGTCAGCAACCCTCTTAGCCATATACATTATTTAAAATATGGAACTATGCTTTATTCCCACACAGCTAAAAACCCCAAGAATCAGCAATTAATTGTGAAGACTTTAAGCAAGTTTACTGATTAATTACTAGGAACTTTATATATGGAAGTCCAAGACGTGAAGTCTATGATTATGCAATGTTGTGGAAAAGGCACTCTGTCCTATATGTGCTCACATGCAGTATTTATTTACTTATATAGTGGTACCTCGGGTTACATACGCTTCAGGTTACATATGCTTCAGGTTACAGACTCTGCTAACCCAGAAAAATAGTACCTCTGGTTAAGAACTTTGCTTCAGGATAAGAACAGAAATCGTGCTCTGGCAGCACCGCAGCAGCAGGAGGCCCCATTAGCTAAAGTGGTGCTTCAGGTTAAGAACAGTTTCATGTTAAGAACAGACCTCCGGAACAAACTAAGTACTTAACCCGAGGTACCACTATATACTATTTAATAACAAAACGGTCTTTGAAGCTGTTTGCAAGTGTGTAAACCAATTACACAAGTATTAGAATCTAAACATCCATAATTAAACCACCACTACACTGTTTTTTCACAATTCTAAGAATGAATTCTAGCATTTTTATCAGGTACGTGCACAAACTCAAGAAAGTTGGGAGAACTTCTGGCTCATACTGAGCAGGTTTTGCATTAAGGGCATGTGCATGTTAATGGCTTGAAAACACAGCAAGGCTTTTCCCCTCGTGCATTTCAAGTTGCATTCTAAAGTGCTGTACGTGCTATGACCTGATTTGTTTCTCTGTGCCTGCAACCTCACCACCAAGTCCTATTCAACAGAGTTGTGCATGCACAATGGATGTCTGAAACATACACGTCTCAGCTTAACCATGGCTTACATTTTCAAATAGGATGGAAACACATGTCTGAGGGAAAACACATGAAACAGCACAAACTCAAGAAACCACAACATACATATGGATTCTGGCTAATGTCACATGCACTCAGGGGCGGGAGTGCATTGGAGCCAGAGTAAATGGTAATGTGCCCACAGCCTGAGTCTGAGGATCAGTAAAACTCTTACCATCTTTTCGTATGCCTGGTAGCCACCATCTTGGGTGGTGAGGTGGGTGGCAGGGAACATTTTCATAAGCTATGGGAAATGAAATTTCAGTTAAAGTAAAAGTCAATCCCAGGTACACAGACTAAAGCTGAGCCACATCATATTAGCCACTGAATTCTATTCTTTATTATTATCGTTGCTATTTTTCTATTTGGTGCATTGGTCAATGGACCACAGGGCATTTTGCAATACCTAAGAACAAAATAAGGCCCATCCTATCCAACACTCTGTTCTCACACTGGCCAGCCAGATCCCCCAGGGAGGCTTGCAAGCACACCTGAGCATAAAAGCAACCTCCCCACCTGTGATTCCCAGCAATTCAGTTTCACTGCTTCCGACAGTGGAGGTAGTCATCAAAGGCAGCATTTCTTAAAAGGCTATCCCTGGGAGCAGGGAATAGGGTCAACTGTTGCAAGCCCCGTGCCCTGGGGGTCTTCCGCCTGGCCAGTTCTGCCTGTCTCCTGCCCACCCAGCATAGGCGCCAACTCCTATGGGCTGAGCCCTCTATATTGTTTAAGAGGGGGCTCAGCCCCCACAATATTGAGGGGGGCGTAGGAAGCCAAACACCAAGCTCCATCTGTGGTCACAAGCAAGGACTAGTTTGAAAGCTGGATCAATATGCTCTGTTTTTTGTTTTGTTTTAGGAAATCTGCCATTGAGTGGCCCAAAATGCTTTAAAATACAAATCTATTTCACAAAATATCTTAGAACACTTTGTAAGTAAAAGCAAACATTCTCCTTCCTTGGAGGTTTTTAAGCAGAGGTTGGATGGTCATCTGTCATGGGTGTTTTTAGTTGAGATTCCTGCATTGCAGGGGGTTGGACCATTGCATGATTATAAGTTTGTATGATATGGCAGATCATGCAATGCTGAAGCTTTCATAGCCCAGGCAGATAACATGGTACTTGTATGAGACTTAAAAGGCATGAATTATATAGAAAAGAACAACATAATCTGCAATTTATATTTACCAGTTCCAGGTTCCCCCTCTCTGCACACAACTTCTGAAAAATAACAGACTGATATAAAAGGTGCTTTCAGACTTTCACGGTTTTGAGGTGGGATTCAGTCACATAGTGACAAATTCGGGCTCTGCAATTAAAGTTAATCTGGCAATCTTGTGCAACTAGCCTGCCTCCTCCTCCTCCTCCTCCTCCCCACCAAAAAATGGATATATTTTTTTTGCTAGAATTAAAGCGATGGGGAAATGCATTGGAAAACATGGGATAATTACTTGATACAATGATGTATAAATCTCCCTGCAAACAAATCAGAGCGAATGCTCAACAAACAGCTGACATTACCTAATCTATCTTTGTGGAAACAAATCAAAATGAATGTTAAATAAATAGGTCATCTGGAGGGGACCAAAGCAAGCAAACATCTCCTTTTGCAAAGCAAACCAGAAACAAACCACATTACAATACTAGGAAGTGCATATATATGAAGATTTCCCCCCACCAAAAATAAATCTCTATGCATTGTAACAACTACTTGCCTTGCTCACCATGCTTCTCTGACTGCAACTCATCAACCCAAATAACAGTATTGTTTTATCTATTTTTACTTATTTATTAAATTTGTATGCCACCCTGCATCCTAAGGTCAGGTGGTTCACAACAATAAAACCCATGCACAGAAGCCGTTGAGTGAAGCTACCACTAGAGGGAGCAATGGAGACTTGTCTTGAAACATCCCAAAGCTAGAAAATTCTAGCTGCTTTGTTCAAGCTCGATATAACCCATTTCTTTCCATGTGGGGCCTTTTGTTTAGGAAGAATTCACACATTTTGTGGCAGCAAATAGGGTTTACCAATACATGTGTCTCTCTCAGAAGAGAGAGGCATGTCAATTTGGCCCAGAAGAGAAGCAAAGAAAGAGAAGAAAGGGGGTGAAGTCTGGGGCCGTCTTTAGCATATGCAGCGCCATGGGGCAAAGATCTGCCCAGCGCCCCCAAATTTAGGTTTTTTTCAGGGGGCCTCCCCAAAGTTGTTTTTTTGGGGGACTCCCAATATTTAGTGAGCTTTTTCTAGGGGACCTCCATGCTTTTTTAAAGGAGGAACAGATTGGTAATAAAGGACAAATAATACCTTCGCTGGAACTAGCACGCAGCACCAAAAACAGCTTTTGTCAGCCAAAGCGCCGAAAAAAATACAGAACAACAACAAAAGCTGTTACAACCAATCAGTAACAGCCACTGATGCAGCCAATTGAAAAAAGGACCAATCGCAATAGACAATATCCGGCTGACAGGAAAAACAACAACACTGTTTCCAGATTAAAGCAGTGAGACACACACGCACACAGTGGCAAGGGGGGTGGAGAGGCTACAAGGCAGGACGTTGAGGCAGATTTAGGGGTTGTTGCTGCAAGACCATTGAGCCTTGAGCCTAAATTACAAAACTGTACCACTGTAAGTTCTCACACAGCTCTTTGCGGCGGCTTTTTCTACACCTTCTCCCCGCCCTCCCACCTCACTCTTCGTACCTGGTGCTGCAGAGCGGAACAGGGTCCAAGTGCCTCTGAAGGGCGCTGAAAGCGTGCAGGCACCAAGCCCCAGCTCCGCCTCGCTTACCTGCCCGCTCTCCCCTCCCTGGACTCTCTGCCAGGCGCCCTCCACAGCTTGGCGCCCTGGTTGCCGCACTGCTACGCCCAATGGTAAAGACGTCCCTGGTGAAGTCAACACCAGCAGCAACATGAAGGAGGATGCAGTTGGTCCACTCACAGATGCAGAGTGTGGGGTATTACCCAAGGGCCTCTCAAACCTAAAAACGGTGCTGCTCAGGATTTTAGTCGACTTACCTGATTCACCATATGGAACGACGTCTCTCGGTGAATCTAAAATAGTGCACAAATATAGAACAGATAAAAGCATGGTTAAGGTAAAACTTTCCAGCTTATGTTGCTGTCAAAATATAGAAATTCCTGTTATAGTTTGTTTTTGTGGTTTAATTTTTCTTTTTGTGCCCTTTTTCAATTGAAAGGCAGGTTAACATTTCCATATCTTTAATAATTTGACACAGCATCTAAAAACAAATACTAACATAGAAAAAGGCAACAACAAAACTTGACAAGGCATTACAAAGTCCTGTGCATTTATTATTACTGGTTTATTGAATTCATATTCCCACCCATTCTCTCTCAATAAAAAAACAACAAAAACCCAGGGCAGCAAATAGATGAAATACTGTAGATGGGTCTCCAGCTGATGCCAAAAGTTCCTCAGTGCCAGCCATATCTCAGAGGGGGCATTCTGCAGGTTTTGTGCAGAATGAGTGGGTGAGAGAAAGGTTTGCAAAGCTCCACCCTGTTTCAGCTCAGCACTAGTCTGAACGTGGCTGCTGGGTTTATCTGAATACAGTGGTGCCCCGCAAGACGAACGCCTCGCAAGACGGAAAACCCGCTAGACGAAAGGGTTTTCCGTTTTGGAGGCGCTTCGCAAAACGAATTTCCCTATGGGGTTCCTTCGCAAGACGAAAGCCCATAGGGAAATCTCCGGGACAGCGGGGAAGCGCAGCGCATCTTCCCCACTGTCCTCGGACCTCCTCCGAAGCCGGGCGGCGGGGCGGGAACACCTCCCGCCGCCGCCCGGCTTCGGAAGGCTCCTCCGAAGCCGGGCGGCGGGGCGGGAACACCTTCTGAAGGACGGCGGGGGGCAAAAGTCTTTGTTCCCCCCTGCCTGCCTTCCCGTTTCTCCGCTGTCCCGGACGGCTTTTGAAGGCAGGCGGGGGGGAGCAAAGACTTTCACCCCCCGCCCGCCTTCAGAAGAGGTCCTCTTCTGAAGGCTGGCGGGGGGCAAAAGTCTTTGTCCCCCCTGCCTGCCTTCCCAGGGGCTTTTAAATCGCCCCGGACAGCGGAGAAGTCCTCCGCTGTCCCGGGGTTTTTTAAAATGCTGGGGGTGGGAAGAAAAGCCCTTGTTCCCCCCCCCAGCTTTCAGAAGAGGTCGGGGGACAGACTGTCCCCGGACCTGGTCTGAAGGCGGTTTCCATAGGAACGCATTAATTGATTTTCAATGCATTCCTATGGGAAACCGTGCATCGCAAGACGAAAAACTCGCAAGACGAAGAGACTTGCGGAACGAATTAATTTCGTCTTGCGAGGCACCACTGTATTGATTTGCAAGTGCTTTTTCCATGTTGAAGCTTGGCACTCAAGATAGCTCCCAAGTGAAGATCTGTTCTCCCTGCACACAGACAAAGCATCATACAATCTTCTGGAGTTACCTTGTGACGGACTCTCTGTTCTAAGCTCCCCAGAAGAACTTTCACCCTCACTTTCTTCTTGTGGTTTTAATTTCTTGCCTCGTTTTGGTTTCCCACCTGTTCAAAGTATAAGAGAAAAACACAGAAGATTTTCATGATGTACTACTGATGGTAAAGCACTTTTCATGTATTATTTACATATCTAAACAGAGTTAGCCTTACATACTTTAGTAGTAGTAATAATATTTATTTATTTATACATACCCCATCCATCTGACTGGGTTTCCCTAGCCACTCTGGGCAGCTCCAAACAGAATAATAATAATGATGATGATGATGATGATGATGATGATGATGTGATAAAACATCAAACATTAAAAACTTCCCTAAACAGGGCTGCCTTCAGATGTCTTCTAAAAGTCAGATAGTTGTTAATTTCCTTGACATCTGATGGGCGGACGTTCCACAGGGCAGGCGTCACTACCGAGAAGGCCCTTGGTGTTAGTGCTGACAGCATAGCTGTCAACTTTCAGATTTGAAAATAAAGGATCAGCAGCCTCGAAAATAAGGGATCAGCAGCCTCACCTGTCCCGGGGACAGTCTACGGGATATCTAACAATCCGGGATAGCAGAGGGAAGCAGTGGGAAACGGTGCTGGAATAAGGGAATTTCCCACACAAAAGGGGTAGGTTGACAGCTAGGGCTGACAGCCATAGCTACCCATTTTAAAACGAGTGTTCAGTATAAGCAGATAGTGTTTTTCTTGTACATTGCCTTGAGACAATTCTATAGAAGGTGAATACTAATAATTAGAATAAGAATAATCTAATCAGAGAGTAATTTCCATAAAAATAAAAATTAACTTAATCAAGAAAGGCTAAGTTACAGACAGTGGTACTGTTAAACTGAAAGAGAAATCTCACCAATTCACATATCCCATTCCAAGCCCAAAATCAGGATGTGAACATGCAGACTTTGGTACCCAACTATTTTATGCGCTTGACTCAAAATATTACAGAAGAATAAGCTGAAACAAAAGACATGGATGCCTGCCTTCTGAAAAATGTCGCTTTAGTACAGCCAAGCACACCAAAATATATTATACTTGGTTGCCCAGTTGTCTTTTAAGCCAATAATGTGCCCCCAGGCTTAGTCTCCCCATCTTTCCATTACCTTGTTTTCCTCCTGTATGAACTAAATCAGCAGAATTTGAGTTACTCATTGTTGTGTCTGTTTAAAAGAGATGGAGAAAGAGATTGTAAATCTGGTTAAGTCCTTCAGATCTTTCATAATCCATTTCAAATCTGTTCAGGCAGAAAGTGTTAACAACCGTTAAAAAATAAGGGGGAGGGGAAAGCAAATAAGAAAACCTGAGAGTTCCTTGAGAAAGAACTGCTTCACACATGAGTCATGTGACACGACATTTTATTTACTGCAGTAAGGCTGCAATTCTAAGCATGCTTCACAGGGAGTAAGCCCAGTTAACACATAGTAGGGTTGCCACATTTCAAAAAGTAAAAACCAGGACACCCCAAAAGTTGTTATGGTTTTCCGATTGACTTGCCTAAAATCCAGGACACAGCACACCCACCCACCCAGGTACCAATTCCGCCTTTGAAATCCTGGTAACACATTGAGACATTTATGAGTACCTAAGATTGCACTGAATAATACAAGACAAACACATGAAGCAGTCACATGACTTGCAATGAGAGCATATTTCTGAGGAACAGGTTTTATTGTCAGCTATAGCAATGCAAAGTCACAAAACAGGACGTTATAGTGGCATTCTGGTCACGTGACTTATCCTGGACCTTTCAGTGGCACTCATTGCCATTGACCATGGTGTTCATCTACATTATCTATGTTGGGATTTGGGGGCATCATGCTGTGGCATTTCTGTCCCTACCCGACTGATGGGTTTCAGAAGATAATGCTGGATAATGTTTCCTCTTCCCCACAACTTTAGGGCCAGGAGGTCCCATAGAGCTCTATGCTGCATTTCATGCTACATGCAACTACTCAGAAAGGTCGCTCAGGGATTTGGCATGTGATGCCATCAATATGGGATGCCATCATCAGGTGAGGTAGAAGAAGTGCTGAAGAGCCTGCAATGAGCTGAAGACTACTCAGAAACTTCATTTCAACATATGGTAGCCACCAGAAAATTAGTCAAAACCAACTGGTCAGAACACTTCACCAGTATTAAAATAGCTTGACTCCCTTCTAGTTTGTTTCTGGGGGCAATTGGGGATACTGGTTTTGGCCTTTTAAGCCCTATAGACTGGAACCAGGGAATCTGAAGGACTGCTTACTCCTTTATAAATCTGCCCACGAGTTGAGATAATTCTCAGATGCTCTGCTCATAGCGGTCAACTTTTCCCTTTTCTTGTGAGGAATCCTATTTGGAATAAGGGAATTTTCCTTTAAAAAAAGGGAAAAGTTGACAGCTATGGCTCTGCTCCAGCTCCCCCAACTTGCAGAAATGGTGCAGGTAGTGACTAAAGTCAGGGCTTCTTTTTGTGATCATGGTCAAGTTTCAGAATGATCTCCCTAATCTGCTAGCATTTAGGCACCGGCTAAATAAAACAATTTGTCCTCATGCTTTTAATAGGTGCGGATCCTATGGGACTTCAGATGCTGCTGGGCTACAACTTCCCTCATCTCTGTCTACTGGTCAGTAGGCTGATGGGAGTTGGAGTCCAACAACAATTGATTCCCCCCCCCAATTTAATTAATTATGAACTACCTCTTCCTTCACTATTTTTACTTTTAGTTTTCTAGCATAGCGTTGTATGGTTTTCTTTCAATAGTTTATCATTCATTGTTTCAATATTTTACTCTGTTCCATATTTTGCCATTCTTCTTGTTAGCTGCCTTGAAAGATTTATTCTGAATGATGGAGACAGAAATGTTTTCAGCAGACAAACAAATGGCTAGAGGCTGGTTCCCTGTTGTCAATGCTTAGAATCGGTCCGGTAGTGACTTTAGAAACGGTCAACAAGCAGGGTAACAACAACACAAATCATCAAAACCATGTAATGACGACAAGCTTACAGACTGTCCTAAAATGTAATGTACCATTTCAGTGATGCTGGAACCACCTGGAAATCCACATCATTGTTTGTTCAGATAATTTTGGGGTTATTTTCCTTCACTGGAACACAGCCTGACTGTTGGCCCTAGAGTGATCAACTGTCTCACATTTGAAGGGATATTTCTTATTCTATAGGACTGTCCTTCATTTCCTTCATTTCTGAGCCTCACAGCTCTTTACTGAAGTAATGAAAATAGACTCCAGACGAGCCTCTTTTTATATATATTAAAAAATAGCTTGATCTGACAAGTGGCCTGCAGTGAAGTAGAGGAGCCAATGAAATAGCTTTATGCTTGGATGAGTTGCTGTGAATTGTGTTGAGCCTCAGAAATGGAATTCATTTTAATTGTTATGCTTTTCCTAAGCCACTGGAATCTACTTGCTTTCGTGAAACGAAAAAGGTCCAAATAGTTGTGAGACCTATATATACCTGCAACATCAGTTCTCTGCACTTGTATTTTATAATATTTCTTGATTTCCACATAGGAATCCTACAGGTTTGAAAGAATGCTGCTATAGGCAACATACCATGAGAAAGGGTGGGGTGGTGGGGTGGAGAAGCCTGGGTGTGCCTTGGCTTCTCTGATACATTGCTAACAAGACACAATTAAGCTTGAAATGCATGAATAGTAATTATAATATACTTGTCTAACAAATACATCATCAATGATGTTGATGCACAGTAGATCAAGTGGTTAGGTGATATCGGTTGAAGCAGCATATCAAGTATTGCAATTCCACCGAGAAAGGGACAGGGAATTGCATTATCTTATTTACATGAAAAGTAAGTAGCTCAGTGGTAGAGTCACAGTTTTACACACAGAAGGTGCCACTTTCAATCCTTGGCATCTCCAAGAAGGGCTGTAAATGTCCTCCGCCTGAAATCCTGGGAAGTCACTGCCAGTCACTGTAGACCAGGCTTCCTCAAACTCGGCCCTCCAGATGTTTTTCAGCCTACAACTCCCATGATCCCTAGCTAGCAGGACCAGTGGTCAGGGATGCTGGGAATTGTAGTCTCAAAACATCTGGAGGGCCGAGGTTGAGGAAGCCTGCTGTAGACAGTACTGATCCAGTGGGACCAATGGCCTGACTCAGAATATGTCAGCTTCCTGTGTTCCTAGTAATTAGTAGTAATATCTAAGCATTATCATTAAGTTAGTTAGTGATAATAGCTTAATTAAAAATAGTTTAAAGTTTAATAATAGTTAATTTAGGCTTATAGCTCTTATAGAAGTAGAGAGTGAAACATAATCTCTGCCTACATTGCATTATTTTAAAAACAGAACTCCAGAAAGAGGACACTGCTTATCATTGAAGCAGCATGTGTATTGCTAACCTTTCATAGCCAAAAGCCTATTTCATCAAAGGCACAAAGTGGACAATAAAAAAACATATATATTTTTGGCTCAACATGCATGTTGTATTGAATTATATTAAAGACTCAGACCAGCCTCTGCCAACCTGGTGCTCTCCAGATATTGTTGCCTACAAATTCCATCAGGCTGTGCTGGCTGGGGCTGATGGGCCTTGTAGTCCAACACCATCTGGAAGGCTCCAGGTTGTTAAAATCTGACTTAGAACATTTTGAATAATTTCTTTCTACATTTCTCTTTGTTCAAACTTCTGGTGCCTTATCAATTTGGTAGTAGGCAGATTCAGACTTTCTTTTTTACTGGCTTTTGACTATGTATTGGGAATCAAATGGTCACAGATTGAAGAGGCCCAGTGCATTAAGGTTTCTGTGGTTTGTTAGACATGCTAGGCTACAGTTTCTTTGGCAAGTGTTGGCTGTGAATCCAACATACACCTGCTTCATACAAGCTCCTGCCATTCAATCCCCACTCTACAGTGCCTGAAAAAATGTTATTGTCGGGAACTATTTATCTGAATCCAATCAATGAGCCTTAAATTCCACACATGGAAGTAAAATAGCAGCCATGTACTTATAATAAAACCACTATCAAGAGAAAATGACATAGGCATAGAAAAAAAATAATCAACTGACCTGTGATGTTACTATGTATAATTGTCTCTTTGGTAACTCTAAGTAAGTGCTATTCGGTTGGTCTTGCTATTTCAGAGATGAACTTCCTGAAAGAAAAGAGAGAACTGTGAATGGCCAAGGAAGGATTCTTTGCTAGAGCAGGGATAACTGGGTGTGTATCTCATGCAGGATGTCATTGTGCATCCTGAGTTGGGTGTGTGACAAATCATAACTCTGTGTCGAGTAATCTGAGATCAGCTGTTGTAGGCAACCACCTGACTCACAGCAGCTGGTACAGTTTCAGTTCACCATGATCTGAGTGGGCAAGACTGTTGTGATTTTGCTCTCATTGGGAGCGTAGGGCAGTGTTTCCCAACCGGTGTTCCGCGGCACACTAGTGTGCCGCGAGACGTTGCCTGGTGTGCCGCGAGATGTTGCCTGGAGGGAGGCGGGCGAGTCGGGTGGCGAGAGGCGGGGCGGCGGCGGCGGCAAGGAGAGGCCGCCCAGCGTGGGGCTCTCGCCGTCTGCCTGCCTGGCTGCCTGCGTGGCGCTGACGTCACGGGGCTGTAACGTGCCCCACATAGGCACACACGGGGCGGCGAGCGAGCTCCCTCCCACATCCCATCGCCGCTCGCTTCGGCTGGCCTACTGGGCTGTCGCAGGCGGAAGGCCTGCGCATGCGCGAGGTTTTCGCGCCTTCGGGATTCCCTTCACGCCTTCCTCCTCCCGGGTCCTTGAGAGCGCGGGAAGCGGCAGCGCGAGACCGGCGTTGAGCCTGGTAGGTATTGCGCTTGCCAAGGCAGTCATTTGGGAAATGAAAACTTGCAAAGCAAGCAACCAGTTCAATCTGAAGTACGTGTATGCTTAATATCCTGTATCTGAAACCTGTTCTGCCCCCTCCCCCACACTTGGTGCCATTTTCATCTACACATGCAGCAGAGTAAGTTGACCCAGAATAGTACCAATTCAGATGGCAGATGGGAGAATGACAGTGCTGAATGCTTTCCCATGTAGAACAGTCCCTGCAAATAAAAACCTAGCATATTTGGAAGAGGGATGCTAGCCTAACCATTACCTTCTATGCTGTTACTATTTTTTTATTTTTTTTTACATAAGTAAAAAGTGACCTTTTCCCATCTGGCATGGTGGTGTGCCTCGAGATTTTTTTCATGAAACAAGTGTGCCTTTGCCCAAAAAAGGTTGGGAAACACTGGCGTAGGGCATGAGAGCGGGGTGGGGGGTGGGGGAGAGAGACTGAAGCTATCTAGCAACTGCTGCTGGCCTGGCTCTGAGTGCTCTCCACTGCCATCCCTGTTGCTTTCAGTGGCAATCTAAAACTGGTTCATGGGAACCAGCAGTTACAGTGCTTGAGGCTGATTGTATGCAAATAACTGGCTAGGTGTTGCCAGTCACAAGGAAAAGTTGGTAAGCGTCCTTGCCTTTCCAGAAAGCCATTTTCAATGGGGTTTGGGGAAAATATGATCTTTTTTCTGGTGTTGTGGGCATGGAGTCACACCACAGTGACGCAGACTCTAAGCAAGAAGACAGACAATGGAAAGTGAATACCGATAGTGTGGGGGAAGAGGAGAGAAGGAGTGGCCTCAGGCTCTGCAAGACTGGCCACAGTCTGCCAGTGGTCATGGGGCACTGACCATTTTCTTCATAAGAACAAGTCCCCACTGCTATTTAGTGCCCGAGACTCTTGAGCTTCAGGAGACCAGTCAACTGACAATATCAGGAGTATCGATTCAAATTTAAGTGAAGAAAATCTCATTACATTACAGAACCACTGAGATAGCAACTCTAGGAACTCCCAGACATTGGATTAGCATTAATGCACACCACTTCATGTACAGCCAGCCAATAATAGCTTTATATCCCTTCTTAGACACAAAAGCTCTTAGGAGATATCAAAGAAGGAAATGCAAATGGGGTGGCAGGAGATTGTAGTTTTGTTTGCATCTAGTCTTCCTAACACGCCAAATGTTGAGAACTGGATAAAATGACACATAAGGACAGCACGTTATTGCATGTCTCTTTTACAGTGAAAGGCTGGGAGGTACCTAGTTATTAGCTGTTACAATGATACTGAGTTTATTTCCTGTTTTCAGTGCCTTAGGAGATGGCATGCAAATATATCTTCTGACTCTACTGCTACCACACATTCATGTCCAGATCATATGGGGAAATTGGGAAGAGTGGCTGTCAGAGATGTGCTCCTAAGAGAAAGTATAGTGGGCCATGCTATTTTTCCAGAGAAATAGGTGCCAGAAGTCACCACAAACACCATCCTCGTTCTCTTAGAATAGCAATGGTGCCTATCTGAGAGGTGCCAGAACTGAGTTCCAGCAAGTTCTGGCTGGGAAAAAAGCCCTGATAATGGGCCTAGAGTGGGAGAAGCTCTGTGTGCTTTAGTAGTTTCATGCATTCAAATTAACTTTTAAACTGAAATTTATAAACCATCTTTCAAACAAAAAGAGACCACCACAAACACGGCAGTAAAACAAATGGAAAACATTTAAAAAGACAAACTCCGGTCCACAGAAGTCATTTGAAGCACATTTAAAGTGCTTTAAAAAAAACTCCTGAGACTGTAGCTTAAGCCTAAGCTTTCACAGGTGGGGTATCCAGAGAAGAGCCATGGATGCAGATCTTAACATCCAGGAGACTGGTTTGTGGGTCCTTTGAGTCCCAGGCCCCAGGCTGTGCATGGCTTTAAATATTATAATCAGCTCTTTGAATTGTGTCCAGAAACATAGAAAGCCAGTAAAGCTGAGGAGGCATGTTTTGACTGGCCAGTTCCAGTCACTACTCCTGTAAAGTAAGGTAAAGGACCCCTGGATGGTTAAGTCCAGTCAAAGGCGACTAAGGGATGTGGTGCTCATCTTGCTGTCCACAGACAGTCTTGTGTCAGCATGACTAAACCCCTTCTGGTGCAATGAAACACTGTGGTGGAAGCCAGAGTGCACGGAAGCGCTGTTTACCGTATTTTTCCCTCTATAACACGCAGATTTTTTCTCCTAAAAAGGAAGGGGAAATGTCTGTGCGTGTTATAGAGCGAATGTGTGGTCCCTGGAGCCAAAAAATCAAGCAAAAGTCAAATCGCGAGTCACGGAGAAGGGAAACCTGAAAAGAGGAAGTGGCAGCTTTCCTGCATTCTGCCTCAGGGTCTTACTGCCCACCCTCCTCTGTTTCGTTGCTGTGATTGCTGAAACGGAACAAAGAGCAGGGAAAGCCCCTCCCCTCCAGGCAAGCAGAGTGTCGTTCTTTCTAATTCCTCTCTGTGCTCCGGTGCTGCTGGGGGAGAGGGAGAGAGAGTGGGGGAGGGAGAGGGAGAGGGGGGGAGGGAGAGGGAGAGAGAGGGTGGAGGGAGAGAGAGGGGGGAGGGAGGGAGGGAGAGAGAGAGAGAGAGAGAGAGAGAGAGAGAGAGATAGAGAGAGAGAGAGATGGCTGGCTTGGGGGGGAACTTTTGCCTTTCTTTCCTCCCACCCGTTAAATCCCTCTCCAGCATTCTTAGCCAGCTGCTTCTCTGCACACCCCTCTCATGTCCCTTCTTTGTTTTTCCTTCGCTCCCCACTTAAAATGTGGTTACAAAGCATAGATCAACATGGATCCTCAGGATCTTTGCATTGGGTCACCCCAAATTCACCATCAGATCACATAGCATGTCCATGGCTACAGCCTGCACCAAAAAAATCACGCACCCACTGTTGCCTGGGGCTGCAATGGTGCAAAAACGTGGTTAAAAAGCATGGATCCACATGGATCCTCAGGATCTTTGCATTGGGTCACCCCAAATTCACCATCAGATCACATAGCATGTCCATGGCTACAGCCTGCACCCAAAAAATCACGCACCCACTGTTGCCTGGGGATGCAATGGTGCAAAAACGTGGTTACAAAGCATGGATCCACAGGAATTCTCAGGATTTTTGCATTGGGTCACCCCAAATTCACCATCAGATCACATGTCTGTGGCCACAGCATGAAGCACAAAAATGATACATCCACTGTTTCATTCAGAATGTTTTTTCCCTTGTTTTCCTCCTCTAAAAACGATGTGCGTGTTATGGTCAGGTGCGTGTTATAGAGCGAAAAATACGGTAATACTCCTGTGGCTGTATTCTGGCACCAACTGCCATGTAGTCTTCAAAAAGACGGACCCATTTACAACATGGGTTCCATTGAACATTTCTTTTTAAAAATGGTTTGCCTTATGTGGAGTGTCATTTTGACTTCCCTCTCCCAAATTGTGAGGGCTAGGGGATGAATTTGGGAGGTTTTTTTGGAGGGGATCCAGCATTTACCATGTAGTGACAGCTGCCTCTAATTTTGCTGCTTCCTCCTTTAAGCCAGGAGCAGTGTACTGTACCTGTAGCCCAGGCTTCCTCAACCTTGGCCCTCCAGATGTTTTGAGACTACAGTTCCCATCATCCCTGACCACTGGTCCTGCTAGCTAGGGATCATGGGAGTTGTAGGCCAAAAACATCTGGAGGGCTGAGGTTGAGGAAGCCTGCTGTAGCCTTTCCAATGTTGCTAGACTCCAACTCCCAGGGGCAAATAGGAGTCCAACAGCTTCTAGAGCAACAGGGGTCACCCATCCTTTTTTTAAACTGTTTAAAAGTTGCTCTCTCTGTTGGTGACTTAAAGAATAGGAGGAGGAGGGATTCTGACTGCTGTAACCATGTGTGCCCTGCGAACGATGCTAGCTCTTCATGCCACAGATACCACCTGGACTTCCCAGGTAATGGAGAGATCCAACAGTCATTCCCAATTGCAAACTTGATTTTTAAGGGGAAATACAACACCGTCCAGAAGAGGAAACTATTTGTTCATCTGTCTGGCCTGACTGGGGAACCTGTGCCCCTCGCTGATGTTGATGGACTCCCATCAGCCCCAGCCAACATGGTCAAAAGCAAGGATTCGTGGGAGATGTACTTGAGCAACACACCTCAGTCTTTTAACTAGAGATGCTAGGAACTGAGCCTAAGACCTTCTGCCTGTGCTCTGTCACTGAGCTATAGTCACTCCCATAAAGCCAGCTAACAACAATACCCCTGCCTAGCCGTCTAATAAATTGAGCTTCAGTTTATGAGCCATAATCCAGTCCCTGGCACCAGACATCTCTTTAGCACATTTACCACTTGAACTGCATTAGATTAAAAGGAGAGAGACAGCTGGATGTCTTCATTATACAGAAGATAATGGAGACACACCCCTTTACCCTGGCTTCCAACACCTGAGATGTACCGTATTTTTTGCTCTATAAGACTCACTTTTTCCCTCCCAAAAAGTAAGGGGAAATGTGTGTGCGTCTTATGGAGCGAATGCAGGCTGCGCATCTATCCCAGAAGCCAGAACAGCAAGAGGGATTGCTGCTTTCACTGCACAGTGATCCCTCTTGCTGTTCTGGCTTCTGAGATTCAGAATATATTTTTTTCTTGTTTTCCTCCTCCAAAAACTAGGTGCGTCTTGTGGTCTGGTGCGTCTTATAGAGTGAAAAATATGGTATATTTTTAGGAGCCACCTTATTTGTTTTAATGTTAGTTGGGATGGGGGGCTCTTTGTAATTGTGTTTATACACTGAGAATCAATAAAACTTCTTATAATAATGTTGTAACCCCCATTGGCACCTTAAGGTGTAGGGCAGGCAAGAGCTGAAGGAAGAGCAGAGGAAAAGGAAGAAGAGAAGATTTGTAAAAATTCTCAGAGATATCAAGAAATGTTTCATGATAAGTGTGGAATCAGACCGTATGATGTCAGATGCAGAGGTAACTTGGACGAAACATCTCATCTTTTCCTTTGAAGTACTCATTGAACTGTTGATTTATGGTAAATCTACATTACATATTTAAACTAGCTGAAAGAGGTTTAGTTGTAGGTAGTAGAAATTGTTTGCTAAAGATCACTGCCCTATTTCTCCCAGAACTACAATTCCCATAGTCTCTTGCTTGAGAGCATTTAGCATTAAACAGATTTAAGGTTCAGTTAAATGTGAACTGCTATCTTATAATGGTTGTGAACTATCCATTAATTAGAAACCAGAACAGATGGATTTGAAACCTTTCTTAACCACACAATGAGAAATCATATTTCATATATAACACAAAAATCACCAGCCAAGTAAGGTTTACTACATACAGCCAGACAGTAAAATTCTAAAACTTTGATCAGGTTAGACAGAACACCAAACAAATCACTTACCAGCAAAATATTCTTGGTTTCAAGCCGTGTGTTCTCAGCTAACCACAGCAAAATTAACACTTTGCTGAAATAGTAACAAAGAAGGATAACAAAATTCATGGAAGACAACACCTCTCTGTATTCTCAGGAACAAGACTTTCTAGTTAGTTTAGCTATGCTCCTCCCTCCTGCTACCAAACATCCTATAAGGTTGGATTGTTACTCATTGAGTTCATTACTAATTGCAAAAGCTATATGGTAATGGCTCATGCTAATTGTATTTAAACCTAGAGGTTTCATAATGTGTTGACACATTGCAACAACCCATTCCTGCTTGCATTCAGAGTGATCTTGCACAAGAAAATGTGACTTCCTCCAAAAAATTGTACTCAGAAGCTAAAGTCCACATCTGAGACATTTTTAAATGAACTGAACTGGAGTTCAGGGGTTTGTACAAGGCTAATTCTGATCCTTCTGTTGTCTGGAAATGCAGACACTAGAAGATATTTCCCATCTGTCTAAAATCAATCTCAGATCAGATATTTACATAATTGTTTAAAAGTTTGTTTGAGAATGCTTTTCTTTGCAGCTGGTAAAGAAGATTGTATTTAGAGCACAACCTGTTCTCCTCCTGAAGCCAGGAGGAAGTTGGGAGCCTTTTGAGGCTGCATTTCATACCAGGCAACATTATTAAGAGTCATTCCTTGTCTCTCCCTCAGCATCAGCAGAATACTCAGGACCAGGGCCAGCCTGAGACATTTTGGCACCTAAGGAGAACCACAAAATGACACACACCTACACACCCTGCCATGGAAGAAGGGGTGAGATCTACGTTTTGATCTGCTGCCCCTGTGGATCTTGCTGCCTGAGGCAGTTGCCTCATCTTGCCTCATAGGTGGGCCAGCCCAGGACAATTTGATGTCAGAATTGGGTACTGCATTCTAGTCCAGCATATTGCTCCATGCTGAGTCTCATTCTCTGTGACAAACACAATTACTTCAAAGGCTTCAGTGTTTACAACATTCCGTGGTTTGCAACTTCAAAACAGCAGGTAGCAACTCTGGCCAATTATCTATCATGTGTGTCAAGTTTATGCAACGTGCCCTTAATTGGGAGACGCCTTTTAACAAAATAGGCAGGGTTACAGATAGCAGACATCTTTACCACAAGGGCATTTATCCACAACTTTGGGGGATTTTGCTCCGTACCAGTATTTACTTGCAAAATTTCTACCCTGCCCTCCCTCCAAAAGGAACCCAGGCTGGATCTAGGCACATCAAAGAAGCGTTTCAGTTAAACACGGTGTATACTTTGTATGAGAAAGTGGTTGGCAAAAACAGAACTCCACAGTGCCATCTGGTATCACCGTGTTATAATGCATATACACCACATATAAAGTGCTTTTTCTTTGCCAGTATAGCTGAGTTCTCAATCAAATTACAGGGAATTTGTCCATTTTACTTTCTTTACCTAAAATATTTATAAACCACCTTTCATTGTACAATCAATGCAATAAAACAATCAGATATTTAGAACAGATAAAATCACTGATACCTAGGAATACCAATAGTCCAAAAATCTGCTTGGGAAAACCCTCATGAATACTTGTATCTTCATCAACAGGTGGGAAACCATCACCACAAGTTCCCACCATATCTCTAGGGCAGTCTTTGCCAGACTGATGCCCCCCAGAAGCTTGGAACTACAACACCCATTAGGACACCAGGTTGGCAAAGGCTGCCCTACCTTTTGACCTCTGTTCATTTCTATGGTCCCATAGTGTGCTTATCACTTGATTTGCACTCTTTTGGCACATGACTAGAGTGGGCGTGTTTTGCTTATTTCACATTGAGACAGGTGGAAGAATCCTGCCTGGTTTTGTATGACAGTGTCAACAGAGGAATAGGCAGATGAGACCTCAGAAACACAGCTACACACATACACACCAAGCATGGGGGCTGGAAGAAGAGGGGGTGGGGAGATTGGGGGATATTTGTTATCAGCTACTTACCATTCTGCTTTTCTTTTGATCCTTTGCTTGTAAAACTGAAAAACCTACACACACCTCAGCCTCTTAGACTCAGCTGCTTCTACCAGAGGCCTGATGTTAGTCAGTAGCTCTCTCTGCTCTTCCTCTTCCTGCCAGCTTCCTCTCTCACTCTTACCTCCCTTCTGCTGCTGCCCATATACGGCTGACATACCATGGGTAAACACTCAGTGCCTTGAAAATACATGGGGTGGGCTTGAAGACAGCATAGATACACCTGGAAGAGAAAAATTCAATACTTCGTTTAATGTTGATATTAAATGACCTTTTCAACCTCTTTTTAATATTCAGTAATTCCATCACTGAAATACTCTCTGTTTTATTCAGCAGGGTGTTCAGTGCAGCATGCCCCATTTCAAGCATTCTACACAGGCTTCAACTTTAGTGATGTGGTTACCAAAAACTCAGTGTATGCCTAAGTTATTAACAGTACTGTATGTACCGTATCATATGTAGGGATGTGGGTGGTGCTGTGGGTTAAACCACAGAGCCTAGAACTTGCCAATCAGAAGGTCGGCGGTTCGAATCCCCATGACGGGGTGAGCTCCCGTTGCTCAGTCCCTGCTCCTGCCCACCTAGCAGTTCGAAAGCACGTCAAAGTGCAAGTAGATAAATAGGTACCACTCTGGTGGGAAGGTAAATGGCATTTCCATGCACTGCTCTGGTTCGCCAGAAGCGGCTTAGTCATGCTGGCCACATGACCCGGAAGCTGTACGCCGGCTCCCTTGGGCAATAAAGCGAGATGAGCGCCGCAACCCCAGAGTCGGTCACAACTGGACCTTTACCGTACTATATCTTATGTATGCCTGACACATTAAGGAAAATCAGTTGGATAACAAATTTGCATAATTTAGTAGTTTTGTAGTTTGGAAAATTGGAGAAAATCTCACCTTTATTTCTTCCATTTTTTCATAGTTTTGTTTTATCTTTTTTCTCTTTTTTATGTTATATTTTATATCTTTGCATGAAGTTACTCATTAAAAATACTTTAAAGATAAGAAGGTTATACCGTATTTTCTGTGTATAAGACTCCTATTTTGGGGGACCCTAAATTAAGAAAATGGGGGGAGATGAGAGTTGTTGAGCCCAGAGTTGTTCAGCTTTTTTGGGGGGGGGATTGCCAACAATCTCTCACCTGCCTGATGACCGCCACTGCCAATTGCACACCTCGCCTAAGTCAATGATCGTCTGCCCAGCCAATAGCACACCCAAATGCTTCATCAGCAGCCAATCGCCAGCAGGCCTTGCTACAGCCACTAACTCCCCCCAATCACCACCGACAATCTCCTGCTCGCGGCTGCCACCAATTGCCCATCCCCCCTCTGCACTATCCATGTATAAGACGACCCCCAATTGTTTAAATTTTTTATAATAAAAAAACAGTCTTATACATGGAAAAATTCGGTATTTTCTTTTTAGAATGCATGGCTCTTCAAACATTCTGCTAGCAGTGCCATCATTTTGCTGTTCTGCTTCCAAGAGCTACAAACCATTGCCCTACTAATATTCAAAAAGATGGCTAGCTTCCATAGACAATTTTTATAGTTCCATGAGCCAGCATGGAGAGATTGGTTTCCATTATTTGCACTGCTTAATGTGCATAGCTGCAGGTATTCTCAGTGCTCCATTTTACCAGCCCCGCGGCACCAGATTTCTGGTACTCAGATTCAGTAATGGGCTGTTGGATTCAGAAAGTAAAGGCTACCAAGTAGAGACTTTGTCACATAAAAACGAGAGATTGAGAATCAGATTACATACCTGAGAACAACACAATTGCCCAAATGTTATACTGAATCAGGGAGAGCAAAATATTTTAAGGCATAGAAGAAATATGAATATTTCTTATACTTACACCAAGACTGCTAAAGCGAAGACAGATGGCAGGAAAGAACCCAAACAGGAAAAGGAGACTAGCTAAAAAGAAGAACAGAGACTGGTAAGGCAAAAATAGAATAGCTAAAGGCAGTGCTTTTTATATAGAAAAAATGGTGCTGGTAATCGCCATGAAGTTGTTACAGTAAGTGCCACACTTTTAACATTAAAAAAGGTGCTGGTATTGCATACCTTTGAGTACCCTCAGAAAAATGTACTGGCTAAAGGCAACAATGAAGTAGTTATTCATTCATTCATTCATTCATTCATTCATTCAGCCTTTATTGTCATAATTTAGACAATAAAATCATAAAAGAGGAGGGACATCCCAACCCAATTTTATTTCATTTACCTAGGAACAGGAGTTTTGCAAAATCCCAGTGTCATATGCGCTCTTATGGAATGGGAAGCAAAATCAGTTCCTTATTCCAGAGGATTTGTTGGAAAGGCAGCAAAACGTCATCTGCAGGAACTAGGCTCCTGTGGACAGACCAGAATAATAACAATGTCTTTTTTTTTGCATATTGACCTTTTTGCAAATTAATTTTAAAGATTTTTTGTATGTTTGACAATTCAATAGAGCGTTTTTAGAGACAACTTTCTGCTTCGTTCCTTTAATTCCACCAAACTCTGCCAATAAAGGCGGGTCTCAAATTTCAGTTGTGCCCTTTGTGATGCTAAAATTTGCTCCCCTTTCCATTCTACATAACAGTCATGGATCCCTCTGCAGCACCACCAAGGCTTCACGCCCAAACTGCTTGCGCTCCCCTAAATCTGCCTCTGTTGCTGGAGTGCTATTCTCAAAGGCATTCTTCACATGTTAGAGCATTACAATTGAGCCAGTAACCTTTATGTTGAGTACCCCACATACTGAGCCATTCATGGGTGGCAGGCAGCTTTGGGACAGTTCGTTAACATTCATGCAGTGAGAATTTAGAGGATATACCTGGTGCCCTCCGGACAACAACTCTCATCTGCCTCAACCAGAATGACTGTTGGCCCAGGCTAATGGGAAGTGAAGTCCTCACCTGGAGGACCAGGTTGGTGAAGGAATGAAAAGGTTCTCCTAAAGCAGGATGGAGTAACCTGTAGCCCTCCAGATCTCATTGGACTCTAATTCCCATCAGCCTCTGTCAAGGAATGAGGGGTGGACTGTGGCCCAACAACATCTAGAGGGAAGCAGGTTCTCTACCCATGTTCTAAAGCAAGATTCTGTGTCGTCGTCATCATCATCATCATCATCATCATCCTCATCATTAATATTAATGGCATTTTCATCCCATCATTTCTCTGAGGAGTTGGGGCAGGATACATGGTTCTCTTCCCACCATTTCATTTGTTTTCAGAAATTATACATAGGAAATAAGATGAATAATAAAGCGTGTCCAATACGTGCTTATAAAAAGTAGAACATTATGCCAACTTGCCCTTCTAATAAGCCTCAATGTAGATATTGAGGAGTAGATAAGGTTACCAGACATCCCCGTTTCCCGGGGACAGTCCCTGGATTTGCAAATCAGCCCCCTGACAAAATCCATCTATTTAGTAGGAAGTTGAAAAGTGTCCCCGGATTCATTGAAAAAAATCTGGTAACCTGACAGTAGCATCAATTAAATATCTTCAGGAGAAAGAAGCGTAATTTCTTCCCTGTGGCTGCAGTGAAAGCTACATCTGCTTCTACAAGCTTATAAAAGACACCGCATAAAAGAAAAAGAGGGCGGCCTCTTCAGTTGTCTGACTGTATTCCACTTCCTGAAGGACTGAGGTATTTTGTGAAGAATTATCACCACCTTGTGGCCTAGTGCTGCATATAATCTTTTTATGACGAGGAATATGTTGAACAGTGTTACTTTTATATAATGCTAAACCCTCCATGTAACTTTTACCTGGCAGGTGTTTTTTTTTTAAGTAACCAAAAGCATTCTCAGAGGGCAAAACTGCAAATGATAGCCAAGATGTGTGAATGAATCATCCCCCTTTTATATCCTCCCCCTCCAAATAGAAAATGGAGGAGGGCTAAATCTGGATTTGGATCACAGCACAGAGATGTGTGTCTTTTAGACTTTTCTCTTATGAAAATTGCCACCTGAGACCGCTGTTTGCCTATAAATCTACACAGGTAGTTTTATTTTGGTTTTTTAAAAAAACAAAAACACCAGGGCAAATAGTGGCTCTTGGTGTGAGATTTTCATTAGGAAAATGGGGCAGGGGCAGGGAGGGGGGTTAACATCTTTACCTCAGACCACACTTCTGATTCAGCTCATGCCCCCACTCCCAGCTGCTATTTGGGAGTGAGAGATTAGGGACACATGAATGCATCTCTGTTATCACATCTAATTTGGCCCGGGAGAAGGCTGCAAATTTAAGGGGAGCAATAGCAGGGAGGGGCTGTTTCATCCCTACTCTCTTAGGGCCATTTCCACCTCCCCCTCAAAATTTCTCCAGTCTGCTTTTTCTCTGCAGCAGGAAAATATGTAGATATCCTGGTATCTTGAAATAAAATTAAAATAAGAGTTTGAAGAGTTTGGATTTGATATCCGGCTTTATCACTACCCAAAGGAGTCTCAAAGCGGCTAACATTCTCCTTTTCCCTTCCTCCCCCACAACAAACACTCTGTGAGGTGAGTGGGGCTGAGAGACTTCAAAGAAGTGTGACTGGCCCAAAGTCACCCAGTAGCTGCATGTGGAGGAGCGGGGAAGCGAACCCGGTTACCCAGATTACAAGTCTACCGCTCTTAACCACTACACCACACTGGCTCTCAATAAAGTAAGGATCTTCTCCTATATTCTGAAAAACGGGGATGGCATCCAATTGCTGTACTGTTTGAAGGCATCTACCTGTGTGGAACAGGGAGAAAGGCCGTGTTTGTCATTCCTCTTCAATGCCTCCACCCTTAAAAACTCTGCACTAGAGGATCCTCCATCCCACTGGAGCAGATTTGGGGAAGGGGAGGGAGGGGGAGGGCAGAAGGCTACATTGAGAGGAATCATGAAAAATTGCCCCCCCTGCTGCAAAATGCCTTCAGTCAGCACAGCAATAGCCCCTGAGTAACAGCCATTGGATTCTACTCGCTATTTATATCTCAGGTTTGCTTGTTTTTAAATTATTATTTTTTAAAAAGAAAAAGAAATAGGTGGTGTATTTATTAGCTTTCCTTCAAAAGTAGGTCCTAACTTCTCTTTTATAACTTCTCTTATAAAAGCATAGCTGTGTTATTGCATTAGAATTTTCAATATACCGTAATGCACTTCAAATATTTTCACAGGGTGTTCCTTACTGATACACAGAAGAGAAAACTTAATGTAATCTGAACATTATAGCTGCTATTCTTCTTACATTGGTCCAAGGGCTACTTCACACTGCTTTCAATTTTCTTTTCTTTTTTTCAGTTCACAATGCCTAGGATTCATTGTGTTCATGCCTCAGATCACTTTTCAAAGCCTCATCTTGCAAGAATCTTTTCAGTCCTGTTTCTGGTGGCGTTCGGCCAGCAGGTGTCAAGAATGGATGGGAACTGTAACAGCCTTCAAAGAGTTGCTTTTTCACCTTGATCCATCCTTACCTTTAGAATCCAGTCATCCAGTTTGGTCACTTTTTCATGTCATGAAGTTGTCCTTGATTGGCTCAGTTTAAGACACCTGAAACTAGTTAATAGTGCCATCCTACTGCAATCCTATACATGTATACTCAAAAGTAAGTCCTGTTGAGTCCTAAGGTAATCATTTACAGAACTGAAGCCTAAGTTATGTATACATATATGTTTTAAGTATGTGGAAGCCAATGTGATGTAGTGGTTAGATTGCTGGACTAAGGATTAGGGATCTGGGAGGCCCAGGTTAAAATCTTAACTCTGCCATGAAGATCACTGGGTGGCCTTGGGCCAGTCATTGTCTCTCAGTCTAATGTACCTCACAAGGTTGTCATATGGATAAAATGGGGAGGTGGAGAGGCTTGGAGGAAAAGTGGGATATAAATGTGATAACGATAAAGATAATAATGCAATATGGCAATCAGACTTTGGGGCAGATAGCTGTGGTGAGAAACACACGTCTTGCTGGAGTTTAATTCATTTGTATGCTGCTACTCCATTCTGCTCTCTCAGTGCCAGCGCTGGTCCAACCCTTTGTGGATATAAGACTCCTCAGGGAGCCTACATTATTACTGATACATTAATTACCTAATGTCAAGGAGCCAAATCAAGAGCATGTGGAAAGGCAGAAGGAAGGAATTATAACTGTACAGAGATGATGGCTTGGCTCAGTTACAGAATACATCACCGACAAGAAAACCCTCTATATGCTTGTTAGAATTTGTACATAAGCTATGGAACTTTTTTAAATTTACAAATGGAAATAATTTCAGGGCATGTGGCATGACAAAACAAAAGTAATAATCCAAAGCTACAATTCCCTTTCTAGGCAGATGAAGAAAGATCCAGATTTACTTCTGCATGTGTTTGAAAATCAAATGTACCGGTAAATGTTCATTCTGAGTCTTTAAGACCCCAACCCCAAAAAAGTCCGCTTACTCCATGCAATTTCAACTTGCTTTGCTGTTCTCCAAAGTCCACAGTTCACAAAATGTTGCCACTTACTTTATCTCTCAGCCTCAATTCCTCATCTATTGAACTAGAGAAGGCTTCATTGATGAGGACCTTTAAATTTCCTTGTCCCTGAATGTCTAAGCCACTTAAACTCAGCGTTCGAAACTTCCATTGTTCTAGGCACATTTTGCGACAACGAATTTCATTAGCGTGAGCAGATTCTGACCTCTGGGTGCAGTACTGTGCCTAAGATTTCAAATTAAAACTGCAGAGTGGAAGGAAAGGAGGACCTTTTTCTGCCTCCCCACTTACAGTTACTCTCTGAAGACTGGAGAAGAGACCCTCTTAAGAATATTAGGGGGTGGGCAGGGGAAGGACTAGACTAGACCATGTGAAAAATGAACGTATTTTAGCTGCAGTTTGTTCATTTTCTGCTTTGTATTCTTGTTATAAAAAAAGTGTGCCTAGAGACATTCAGTTGTTGCACCCATAACCTAGGTTTAAGGTGCCATTAAGCTTCTTGCTTTCATATCT